AGACAGACTTCTTTATAGAAGGTGAGTAAAACCCAATATAGTAAATCCTTATGATACCATGGATTTAGTAGACAGACTTCTTTATAGAAGGTGAGAAAACCCTATATAGTAAATCCTTATGATACCATGGATTTAGTAGACAGACTTCTTTATAGAAGGTGAGTAAAACCCTATATAGTTAATCCTAATGATACCATGGATTTAGTAGACAGACTTCTTTAGAGAAGGTGAGTAGAACCCTATATAGTAAATCCTAATGATACCATGGATTTAGTAGACAGACTTCTTTAGAGAAGGTGAGTAAAACCCTATAAAGTAAATCCTAATGATACCATCGATTTTTTAGACAGACTTCTTTATAGAAGGTGAGTAAAGCCCTATATAGTAAATCCTAATGATATCATGGATTTAGTAGACAGACTTCTTCATAGAAAGTGAGTAGTACATGGTTCCAACCCTATATAGTAAATTCAAATGATACCATGGATTTAGTAGACAGACTTCTTCATAGAAGGTGGGTAAAACCCTATATAGTAAATCCTAATGATACCAGAGATTTTGTAGATAGACTTCTGTATAGAAGGTGATTAGTACAGAGTTCCAACCCTATATAGTTAATCCTAATGATACCATGGATATAGTTGACAGACGTCTTTATAGAAGGTGAGTAGTACATGGGTCCATCCCTATATAGTAGATCCTAATGATACCATGGATTTAGTAGACAGACTTCTTTATAGAAGGTGAGTAAAACCCTATATAGTTAATCCTAATGACACCATGGATTTAGTAGACAGACTTCTTTAAAGAAGATGGGTAAAACCCTATATAGTAAATCCTAATGATACCATGGACTTAGTAGACAGACTTCTTTATAGAAGGTGAGTAAAACCCTATATATAATAAATCCTAATGATACCATGGATTTAGTAGACAGACTTCTTTATAGAAGGTGAGTAAAACCCTATATAGTAAATCTTAATGATACCATGGATTTAGTAGACAGACTTCATTATAGAAGGTGATTAGTACATGGTTCCAACCCTATATAGTAAATCCTAATGATACCATGGATTTAGTAGACAGACTTCTTTATAGAAGGTGAGTAGTACATGGTTCCAACCCTATATAGTAAATCCTAATGATACCATGGATTTAGTAGACAGACTTCTTTATAGAAGGTGAGTAAAACCCAATATAGTAAATCCTTATGATACCATGGATTTAGTAGACAGACTTCTTTATAGAAGGTGAGTAAAACCCTATATAGTAAATCCTAATGATACCATAGATTTAGTAGACAGACTTCTTTATAGAAGGTGAGTAAAACCCTATATAGTAAATCCTAATGATACCATGGATTTCGTAGACAGACTTCTTTATAGAAGGTGAGTAAAACCCTGTATAGTAAATCATAATGACACCATGGATTTAGTAGACAGACTTCTTTATAGAAGGTGAGTAAAACCCTATAAAGTAAATCCTAATGATACCATTGATTTTTTAGACAGACTTCTTTATAGAAGGTGAGTAAAGCCCTATATAGTAAATCCTAATGATATCATGGATTTAGTAGACAGACTTCTTCATAGAAAGTGAGTAGTACATGGTTCCAACCCTATATAGTAAATTCAAATGATACCATGGATTTAGTAGACAGACTTCTTCATAGAAGGTGGGTAAAACCCTATATAGTAAATCCTAATGATAACAGAGATTTTGTAGATAGACTTCTGTATAGAAGGTGATTAGTACAGAGTTCCAACCCTATATAGTAAATCCTAATGATACCATGGATTTAGTAGACAGACTTCTTCATAGAAGGTGAGTAAAACCCTATATAGTTAATCCTAATGACACCATGGATTTAGTAGACAGACTTCTTTAAAGAAGATGGGTAAAACCCTATATAGTAAATCCTAATGATACCATGGACTTAGTAGACAGACTTCTTTATAGAAGGTGAGTAAAACCCTATATATAGTAAATCCTAATGATACCATGGATTTAGTAGACAGACTTCTTTATAGAAGGTGAGTAAAACCCTATATAGTAAATCTTAATGATACCATGGATTTAGTAGACAGACTTCATTATAGAAGGTGATTAGTACATGGTTCCAACCCTATATAGTAAATCCTAATGATACCATGGATTTAGTAGACAGACTTCTTTATAGAAGGTGAGTAGTACATGGTTCCAACCCTATATAGTAAATCCTAATGATACCATGGATTTAGTAGACAGACTTCTTTATAGAAGGTGAGTAAAACCCAATATAGTAAATCCTTATGATACCATGGATTTAGTAGACAGACTTCTTTATAGAAGGTGAGAAAACCCTATATAGTAAATCCTTATGATACCATGGATTTAGTAGACAGACTTCTTTATAGAAGGTGAGTAAAACCCTATATAGTTAATCCTAATGATACCATGGATTTAGTAGACAGACTTCTTTAGAGAAGGTGAGTAGAACCCTATATAGTAAATCCTAATGATACCATGGATTTAGTAGACAGACTTCTTTAGAGAAGGTGAGTAGAACCCTATATAGTAAATCCTTATGATACCATGGATTTAGTAGACAGACTTCTTTATAGAAGGTGAGTTAAACCCTATATAGTAAATCCTAATGATACCATGGATTAGGAGACAGACTTCTTTATAGAAGGAGGGTAAAACCCTATATAGTAAATCCTAATGATACCATGGATTTAGTAGACGGACTTCTTTATAGAAGGAGGGTAAAACCCTATATAGTAAATCCTAATGATACCATGGATTTAGTAGACAGACTTCTTTATAGAAGGTGAGTAAAACCCAATATAGTTAATCCTAATGATACCATGGATTTAGTAGACAGACTTCTTTATAGAAGGAGGGTAAAACCCTATATAGTAAATCCTAATGATACCATGGATTTAGTAGACAGACTTCTTTATAGAAGGTGAGTAAAACCGTATATAGTAAATCCTAATGATACCATGGATTTAGTAGACAGACTTCTTTATAGAAGGTTAGAAGGTGAGTAAAACCCTATATAGTAAATCCTAATGTTACCATGGATTTAGTAGACAGACTTCTTTATAGAAGGTGAGTAGTACATGGTTCCAACCCTACATAGTAAATCCTAATGATACCATGGATTTAGTTGACAGACTTCTTTATAGAAGGTGAGTAAAACCCTATATAGTAAATCCTAATGATACAATGGATTTAGTAGACCGACTTCTTTATAGAAGGTGAGTAAAACCCTATATAGTTAATCCTAATGATACCATGGATTTAGTAGACAGACTTCTTTATAGAAGGTGAGTAGTTCATGGTTCCAACCCTATATAGTAAATCCTAATGATACCATGGATTTAGTAGACAGACTTCTTTATAGGAGGTGAGTAAAACCCTATATAGTAAATCCTAATGATACCATGGATTTAGTAGACAGACTTCTTTATAGAAGGTGAGTAAAACCGTATATAGTAAATCCTAATGATACCATGGATTTAGTAGACAGACTTCTTTATAGAAGGTTAGAAGGTGAGTAAAACCCTATATATTAAATCCTAATGATACCATGGATTTAGTAGACAGACTTTTTTTATAGAAGGTGAGTAGTACATGGTTCCAACCCTATATAGTAATTCCTAATGATACCACAGATTTAGTAGACAGACTACTTTATAGAAGGTGAGTAGTACATGATTCCAACCCTATATAGTAAATCCTAATGATACCATGGACTTAGTAGACAGACTTCTTTATAGAAGGTGGGTAGATAAAACAAATAATAAATGAGTTTGGAATGTATATGTCAGATCTTAAACATTGGACAAGACCCAAAACCACATTTAAAGCTCTTTATTATGATACCCCCACTTTAAAAAAGTGGGGGTTTACTGTTTTACCACTGTGTGTCCTTTCATCCGTCAGTCCATCCATTATGTCAGACCGTCCGTCCGTCCCATGAAAATTTTCGCCGCATCTTTCTCAGGAACTACACTACAAAGATTTCTGAAATTTGGTTTCAGGGTTTATATAAGTCAGCTATACTGTGTGATGCGTTTTCAGATTCATCACTCAACAACTTGCTGTTTACAGTACACTTGTACAATGTATCATTTTACACATGATAGCCAAGTTGAAAATTTTCGTCACATTTTTCTCAGGAACTACAATACAAGGATTTCTGAAATTTGGTTTCAGGGTTTATAAAAACATCTATACGGTGTGATGTGTTTTCAGATTCATTACTCAACAACTTCCTGTTAACCGAAATATTTGGGCTGGGGTATCATCAGTGAGCAGTAGCTCGCAGTTTCACTTGTTCCCCCTAGTCTAGACCCTTGTGAATAAATTCAATAAAAGCAAAATCCTGACTAAATACATAAAGATATAGTAACCACTACAGTGATAATTTTTATGTTCTGTGTACTTAACTTTACCTATAAAAAAAATATCTTGATCTGTGGAAAAAAACAATGATTCTTAATTAATTTAACAAAACAAAACAAGAGGAAAAGCCCTTTATATGAGTTTAAGGAAGATCAATAAACAGCTTTATATAAAACGTGATATATATTTTGGGAATGACATCTGCACACTTATAGATGTCATAGATAGAGGGGCAGATGAACCTTTTTGGGACTTCAGCATTGAGCAGTTTAATTTGTGTGAATTAGGGAATAGCCAGGTAAATCAAAGGGAATTTGGAATTCCATATTTAATTATATTGTGATGCGGGAACAAGAATATTATTTTTAAGGATTTCACATTTATTTTCGCTGGAATTTTTCCTACCCCCCTCATAGGTAATGCCACCACACAAGTGCAAACTGTAGCTTGGTTTAATTATGCTTCTGGTAAACAGAATATGAACAATTTCTAAACCTTAGTGTAGCTCCTTTGTAAAGGGGACAGATAACTGAATTTCACCTAGTTTCATTGATATTTAAATAAAATTCTATAAATATTTACACTGCTATTGCCATTTATTCCAGATTATCAACTAGTATATTTTCCTTTACTCTGGTACCCATTGGACATTTACCTATGCCTGGACCAGTCAACATAACTTATTTTGATACCACTACAGATCGAGATCAAAGGATTATGTTAACCCACTGGAATCCAGGTATAAACTGATAAACTTACAAGTTATGTAGATTCTGCTTCTGTAGCCAGTTTGATAAAGCATAGATGGGGGGTAGGAGGGGTGCCGTCCTAAATTCCGAAAAAGTAAACGGTAAAATCCTGAATTCCCGGAAAAAGGAAGCATTCTTTCGCCGGATCCTGAAATATTAATCATTAATGTTTTTATCAATGACATTAAAAAGTAAAATCACACAAATACTGAACTCCGAGGAAAATTCAAAAAGGAAAGTCCCTAATCAAACAGTAAAATCAAAAGCTCAAACACATCAAACGAATGGATAACAACTGTCATATTCCTGACTTGGTACAGGCATTTTCCTATGTAGAAAATGGTGGATTGAACCTGGTTTTATAGCTAGCTAAACCTCTCACTTTTCAGTACAAATTTTTACATAGAATAATTGCAACTAATACTTTCTTGTATAAAGTTAAACTTAAAGATTCAAAGCTTTGTACTTTTTGTAACGTTTCTGATGAAACCATGGAGCATTTATTCTATGAATGTCCAATAACACATTTTATATGGCAATCTTTTTCACAAAAATTAAAAGTATTATAGGGCTTTTAGCAAAAATAAGAAAATATCAGGAAAATGAACATTATATAGCAAAGAAAAATGGTACCACACCTTTTTTTCTAAAATTCTGGGCCCCAGTAGATTACATTTTTACTGATTAGTAACAATTACTTTTGATTCAAATCATGTAAAGTAAAAAATGAAACTTACAGTTTATAAAGAGCAGATCTTTACAAAGATAACATTTTCTTTGCAATACACAAGTTGATATATGTTATGTTAACGCAAGTGCAAGAGTGGGTGTATGTGTGTGTGATTGTTTTCTTTTCCCCTTTTTATTATAATGTTGATATTCATATAATATATATTCACAGTAGAAAAAAAAATGTAGTCAATTATTAATTTGTTTGTTTCCTATATCAAACCCCTTAACACCATAGTCAGGTGGTGATGTACAGGGATTGTAAAAGCCTGACTACTGAAAAAAAAAAAAAATAAATAAAAACCTCTCACTTGTATGACAGTCGCATCAAATTCCATTATATTGACTACGATGCGTGAACAAAACAAACAGACACAATAGGTAAAAATGTCAAAAGTAGGGGTACAGCAGTCAACATTGTGTTATCATCTTAATCACTATAAAAACAAACAAATGCAACAAAGAAGCACAAAAAGGCATACATCAAATTTAACATCCTCATTTTGCTTTTTAAAAGTACCATACATTTCAATATTCCACCAATTCAATGATTGCTGGCTGCTTTCCATTGTTTTTTAGGACCAGAGATATATAATATATGGGTGGACAAATATTTGTTATGAACAATATGATTGTTATAAAAAAAAAATGAACTATCAGACATGAATATGTAACTTGTTGAACCCTGCTCTTTTTACTTCATAGGCCTATAGAAGTATGTCAAGTGCACGATGTTTTATCGATATTGTCAACATCGCAATGTCTACTTTATCGTGTCATTATTGTGTTTACATTGTATCCTATCTATACCCTGTCTGTACATTTATTACATAGTAAACACTACGATGTAGACAATAGCGAGTCAACATCGTGTTTATATCGTATAACAAGTCTATTATATACCTTTGTGTTTGCAACGTTCACAATGTAGACATTGCGATGTTAACAATAGCGAATCAACCTCGTGTTTATATTGTATACTAAGTCTATACCTTTCTGTTTACATCGGTCACATCGTATGCATCGTGATGTTGACAATATCGTGTCCACATCGTGTTTATGTTGTATATAAATTCTATACCTTTCTGTTTACATCGTTCACATCGTATACATCGCAATATTCACGATATCGTGTCAATATCATGTTTATATTGTATACAAAGTCTATACCTTTGTGATCACATCGTTCACATTGTAGACATTGCGATGTTGACACTATTGTGTTTACATCGTTCACATCGTCAACATCGTGTTTATATTGTATACAAAGTCTATATCTTTGTGTTTACATCGTTCACATCGTAGACATTGCGATGTTGACAATATTGTGTTTACATTGTTCACATCGTCAACACCATGTGTATGTTGTATACCAAGTCTATACCTTTATGTTAACATTGAGATGATGACAATAGCGTTTATCTTGTAAACTGAGTGAATGTCTTTGTGTCAACATCATTCTAATCGTCAACTCGTAGCTTGTTAGAGCCGAAAAAACTATATACACCATCAAGTTTTATTCTCTAAGTCTAGTTGTTACTTATTTCTTAGACAAATTCGTGTGTGAGTTTACTTAAAAAAAGTTGCTTTTTTGTGATTCGTATAGTATTTTATTTATAATTATATGTAAACATCAAATAACAGTTCAAATAATATAAATAATGTTGACACCATATAGTGCACACTATAATGCAAACGATGTAAACACGATATTGATAATACGTTGTATAAATTGCGATGTTAGCGATGTCAACGATGTAAATAGTTTATAAGAGTTGTTACAATGTAAACGATGTTGACACGATATCTTGTTAGCACTGTTTATAACGCAATGTAAACGATGTAAACACTATATCGTTACTTCATTGTATACATTGCTATGTATACGATGTAAACGTTGTAAACAGTATATAAGAGTTCATACAATGTAAACGATGTTGACACGATATCGTGTTAACATTGTAAATATCGCGATGTCGACAATATTGTTTTTACATTGTGCACTGGACATGGATGGGCCTATATGTTGTTGAAATCAAGAAGATTTCTTCAACTTTCAGTAAAATTTATATTTTTGGCCTATTTGGTTGTAAATGCCAAAACTTTGTAAGAAAAGCTCAACAATATTTATTCTATTAAAATTTCTCACATGTATATGCTTCAACTTGAAACACTTTTCATCTTGAAATATCAAGCTTTAGAATTATGGGCCAAAAAGGGTCCTTTATACACCTACTCCTTTATATTTTTAAAATGTGCCAGCTATTAAGGAGGTACCTAACACTACAGGGAGATAACTCTGTAAAAATCAGCTAAACGTTTTAATTACGTTGTATTGTTAAGGAAATATTAAGCTTCTCAATGATCAAAATTAGTGTTTGTCAAACTGCTATATAACCAATGAAATTTTTTTGATAAAGTGGTTGGTTCCAATTTTTTGAAATTTTTATATTTTTGTGAAAGGGTCAAAGTTAACATTTTGTCAAAATTTTATGAAAATTAAACGAGCCAAATTAATATTAGTCAAGGTGTTGGGTACCACCTTAAGCCAGTATGTAAAAATAATTAATTATAACTGGGTACTAAAGTTTATGTCATTGGTCTCCGATAGATAGTTGATCTCATTGGCAATCGTACCATGATCATATCATCTTCTTATTTTTAAACTTAGAATGGAAAAAATGTCAACTATTGGCAAATGTCTATGGTGAGTTCCAATAATATTAAATTATCTGGGCCTACATATCAGAACTTATAAGGAAAAAGCCTGCAGTCATGCACTATTTAAACTCCTACATTCAAGTTCAGATTTTAAGTATAAAAAAGAAATACTATTTTTTGGTAAAAAAGGTTCACCCCTGTAAACTTTAAACCATGCAAACCAAATTTGAGAGGGTGTGTGAAAATAACCATGTCTTTCCATAAATTAACAACTTGCATATTCTTAGCCTGTTATTGTGCACAAATGGATTCATATATTTTCAAAGCATTTATAGTGTATACTTATAAGTTTAGATTTCACTTAAACCCAAGTTTGAAGCTGCTTTCTAAGATTAAAAGTTTTGAAGTAAGATAACATTTTTCTTCAATATAGATTTATTGCAATGTAATGTATGTTTACAGTGGATAAACAATGGGAGCTGACCAGTAAGACTTGTGGTGACCATAATGATACAGAAATTATAAACCCTGATGGAAGTACTACTACATTGGCAAGTTTTATTATTCTTCTTAATATGAATAAGCTGTTGACACTGAGATATGTCTCACCTGTCTGCATAAAACTCAGAAAAAGCCAATCGGATGGACAGCAACATTGCTTATTAATTCAGAGTTGCTGGACCAATTAGTGGGTAGGGCCTCAAAATGGTTGACAAACTGAGATGTACAGACAACAATGTAACTTTATAGAAAATATTGTTGTCTATTGTAAGTAGTTCCTATCAAACTAACTTAAGCAGACAACTTAACATTGAAAATTGTTAATAGATTGAAAGTCACTGAACCATGACCTAGGGGGCTGGGCCTTGAAATAGTTGTCAAACTGATATGTTCTGATAGTAATGCAACTTTATAGAAAATATCATTGATCTATCACAAGTAGTTCCTATCAAACTAACTTAAGCAGAAAACTTGTTGATGCCACCGTTGCCAGAAAAGCACACCCTATGTCTCGCTTTTCGTGACTTTTGTAACAGGCTAGACAAAGATATGGGTTTAGAGGTGCATGAGACAATATCCTAAGTTTTGAGGTTAAAACAAAACAAGCTTTAGCTCACTTTTATTTCATGTGGAAATAGAAGAGACGATACACATATAAAACCCGGCCCTGGTTCACTTTTGCCTGAATTTGGCCTTGAATTTGAACTTGATCATAAATATTAAAAAGGCCACACTTTGGTCTTAAATAGGTATATTGTTAAGTAAAAAAAGATTTCCTCACAAGAGTACATTGTGTGCTACAAAGGCAACACATTATGCATATGTTGTCAAAACATGATGATTTTGTGCTGTTTTTGGACTTGGCTTCAGAAAAACCTTGGCCAATACCTTCGATCAAAAATGTTCTGTTACCAAAATTTGCCAATGCTTATATTGAATACTTAGACACTACAATTTTCTGGACCAGGGCAGGGGCCAAAGTTATCTTTGTGAAAAACTGTAATAAATTATGAAAATTTTATCCAAAGCTGATATTACCACATAAATAATGCATATCTAAGTGGTCATAACTTGTAATTTATAATGTGATATACCTTAAAGAAGTTATTTCCTATTTACTAGTTATATCACAACTATTTCTAGGAACAATATGTATATTTTGGCCAGATTTAAAAAAAAACATAAAAACCTTAGGGCCAAATTCTAACCCTTAGTTACTTAGTGAACCTGAAAATAACAACTTTCACATTTGTAACCTGTTATTGAGCACTAATGGATTTTGATTTTTGAAAGCATTTATAGCTATAAATTTGTTTTAACTAAATACAAATTCATTTATTATTATTTCATCTAGGAATGAATTTGTCTTTATAGGTTTGTAGTACCTGGAAGTCCAAAGAAGAAAATTCTACAATAAGTCGTAAGAAAAGATCTACATCACAGCTTGAGTATTTGTCACAAGAGACACAGTTTTCTCTGTCAGTAGTGTCTACTACTATAATCAATACACCACCAAGATTGGTCAGTCCCGAGAATGTAACTATGGAGGAAGATTCAGGTAAGATCTGCACAACTTTCATAAGAGACATAGTTATAACCCTTGCAACAAACTTTTGTGGGTATATAGGATTCACCTTGACTGTCTGTCTGTCCGTCCATTTGGTCACTATGACCTTGACTTTGTTCCCTATTATAGTAAAACCTTGTCTGATTTGTGTCCTGCCCATAGCTTTTTTTAGATAGAAGTTAGGTTTACCAAACTTGGTATGCTGATACATCATGGAATGGGTGGTGTCATAAAGCAGTCAGTCACTCTAACCTTGACTTTGATTCCTATTACAGTAAAACATTGTCTTGATTCGTGTTCGGTGCATAATTTTGTACCGTAGCACTAAGATTTGACAAAACTTTGTGTGCAAAAACATCATTCTAACCTTGACTTTGACCTTGACCTCTATGATAGTTAAACATTGTTAAACTTTTGTACTGTAGCATAGATTAACAAAATTTTGTATGCAGAAGCATCATTGGAGCGGTATGTGTCAAATACCAGGTTACCTTGACCCCTATTTGTGTTGGGAACTTGGGGGCATTACTGTTTTTTGGAGGATTTAGGTTAACCAAACTATGTCAAACTACATGTGCAGATGCATTATGGGAAGATGATTTGTCAGTTAGACAAGGTCAAATTGGTTTTGACCTTTAACCCCCAAAAAATTGATTGACGTTTAACATTTGATATTGCTGAAAGCCAAAATTCTGAAATTGTCAGTGTCTCAATACTGAATTTCATAGCCGCTGGGGTTTTTAGTCACCCTATTGGGGACAGCTCTAGTATTCCCTGTCTGTACTGCTTATTTCTATCTACAATCCATCATCAAGACTGATTACTCCTGAGATGGCAACTATGGAGAAAAATAAGAATAAGATTTGCATAATTATTCATCATCAGAGACAGTTTTTCTGTTTGTAATGTTTATTTCTTTCTATAATGTCGATGGATTCTTAAGTTAAGCAAGAAAGCTTGCACAGAAAAGAGTACCTTGATTGTTTGCTATCTGTTGAGTTTCTTTTGACAATTCTGGATATGATATGCAAAGAAAACCTTCATGTTAATAAGTAAGTATTTCACTAATTATTATGGTGTATTTCTTTCTTTTAGGGCACAAAGTACAGTAGTATTGGTAGATAGTATTGTAATTTATTACATTGTTCAATTGACTGTATATTATAGGATTTCAAAATCTGTATATAATAAGCACTCAAAATTTTCACTTGGAAATGTTACTTGATTTGAAATAATATCTATATGAATGTATGCTCTGACATTACAATACTCTATTTAATTAACCTGATACATATAAGTGAATCCAGTTCAGGATGGTATTGCAACTTCACTAGATCATTACAATGTAAAAATAGATGAATTAAAACAGCATTATCTTCATTTCAGGAACTCTTCAGTATTTACTAGAGGCAACAGATGATGAAGCAGATACTATTTTGTTTTATTTAGAAGATTCTACCTATATCATGGGTACTCCAAGTCTAACTACTGATGGAATGTAAGTTCAATTATTTTAAGGGACATATTTACACAAAAGACAATATACCAATGGTCAGATGAGACTGGTGATAATTTATAAATAGTTGATACAAATGTTCAGTTCCCTGATGGCAACCAAATTACTCGAAATTTTGATACTTAAAAATCATCTTTTTTTAATGTGTTTCTGGGTTGCTGTCCCATTAACAAATCTACATCCCAAAAAACATATATTTTGTCATTTAAATTTCAACACCCTGAAAAACCACAACATTAGTCTTTCCAAATATAGAAATAATGAACAAATTATTAGTCTACATGTAGTAATTCACAAATGTGTTGGTCTGTTTTAATATTATTATGATGGCTCTTTCATATTTACAATTGATATTTTTATTGACTATATATGATATAGTCAAGTGTTCTAGTGAACCCAAAATAGAGGGGTACAACACCCATCTGCACTTACAGTGCTGTTCTATGGATTGTTCTGCTTGAAGGCAAATGTAAGTTTTTCAAAGCCAATAAAAAATAATGTGATTGCAAGAATGCTGTGAAGGAAATTTACTTTTGAATTTATAAATTATGAATGCTAGTTTTTATTATTGCGAACCTGATACCATCGCATTTTTCACATTATTAATTATTAAGAACATGGCAGTAATTTCTGAATTGACAGTTATCAATTGTTTCAATTTTATATACATAAACTTGATCATCATCTTCAACGAAACTTTGCCCCTCTGCCCTTAAATCCTAGCTGTATAATAATAACCAAAGATAACTTTTGTCAGGCTGTTGTATACTCCATGTACAGACTGTACAGGAACAGAATACATACACATACTCCTAACAGAACATCAGACAGATGTTCCAGCAGCCAGTTCTATTGTCACAATAGCTATTGATGTCATCAGTCAGAATGATCACCCTGTTGTTTTCCTTACTCAGTTTGGTAGCTCTATATTGTTAGAGGATACTAGTGAACCAGTTGTGGTAAGTTTTAATGTCACAATAACAGTCCATGTAACCAGTCAACATGACCATCTTGTTGTTTTCCTTATTCAATATGGTAGCTCTATATTGTTGAGATTTTACTAGGAACCTGTGATAGAAAGTCATTCGGATTTTGATGCAGCAAAGACTTAGTATACAGAATATATCAGATGTCAAGATATTTAAGGTTTTTTTTACCTCATATCTCATTCATTTGGAAAGTTACTTTTGAACTGTTATACACAGATAGTAAATGAATGAAAGAAAGAAAAATGTTATTTCAAATACTTTTTATACCCCCCGCAAACAATGTTTATTTTTGGGGAGGGGGGTATATAAGAATTATCAGATCCGTTTGTCTGTCCTGCTTCATGTTCTGTGCATAACTTTTGTACCATTGAACTTGGGTTAATAGTTGCATCTTGAACTGGAGGTGTACGTGTCATATAACAAAGTCAGGTCACTCTGAGGCAAACTTAACTTTTATACATGAAGTACACTCTCAAATACATCAGCTACCGCCTAGTCTTTTTTATGCATTTAACCTGCTTACTTGGATATGAGCTGGAGACTAAAATTATCTTCCCATCAAGTATCTGAAACGGTGTAACCAAACTTTCAAAAATAGTGAAATTTTCTAAGAATGAACCTTTCATTATCCATTGAACTGTTTTCTGCATCACACTCATAAAAATATCATATTTTGTAGGTATACCTAGAACAGAAAACCAATTACACACAACACGTCTGGTCTGACCAGTTCACAGTTGTGTTTGGAGCATATGATATTGATGTACAAGACAATTTAACTTTGAAGGTACATGTATCACAACTTGATCATGGAAATATTACAATTTCCCAACAACAGTTGATCCCTCCTGATGTAGGACCATGCCCTCATGATCCATTGGTAAGTTTAGTTCCATTGAAATATTTTATTAGGCCATAGTAAGTTAATAATTGTATGTTCTTCCTCTACTTATATTTTGAATGCCCATATTTATTGTCGAGCCTGCGAATTTTGTCGCAGAAAGCTCGACATAGGGATAGTGATCCGGCGGCGGCGTTAGCTAACTTCTTAAATGCTTTATATTTTAGAAGCTAGAAGACCTGGATGCTTCATACTTTGTATATAGATGCCTTATGTTACGAAGTTTCTGTCTGTCATATGTCCATTGTCCTTGACCTCATTTTCATGGTTCAGTGACTACTTGAAAAAAAAGTCAACGTTTTTTGTAATGTTAATTTCTTTCTTATTATGAGTAATAGGATAACTATATTTAGTATGTGCGTACCTTGCAAGGTCCTCATGCCCCTCAGACAATTTTCATTTGACCTCGACCTCATGTAATGGATCGGTGAACAAGGTTAAGTTTTCGTGGTCAAGTCCATATGTCAGATACTATAAGCAGTAGGTCTACTATATTTGGTATATGGAATGATTGTAAGGTGTACATGTCCAGCTGGTAGGTGTCATCTGACCTTGACCTCATTTTCATGGTTCAGTGGTCAAAGTTAAGTTTTTGAGTTTTGGTCTTTTTTTCTAAAACTATATGCAATAGGTCAACTATATTTGGTGTATGGAAATATTTTATGATGTACATGTCAGTCTCGTAGGTTTTATTTGACCTTGACCTCATTTTCACGATTCATTTCTCAGTGTTAAGTTTTTGTGTTTTGGTCTGTTTTTCTTCAACTATAAGCAATAGATCAACTACATTTGTTGTATGGAAGGATTGTAAGGTGTATATGTCTGTCTGGCAAGTATCATCTGACCTTGACCTCATTTTCATGGTTCATTGGTCAATGTTAAGTTTTCATGGTTAAGTTTGTTTCTTAGATACTATAAGCAATAGGTCAACTATATTTAATGCATAAATTGATTGTAAGGTGTACATGTCTGTCTGGCAAGGTTCATCTGACCTTGACCTCATTTTCATGGTTCATTGGTCAATGTTAAGTTTCTTGGTTAAGACTGTTTCTTAGAAACTATAAGCAATAGGTCAACTATGTTTGGTTTATTGAATGATTGTAAGGTGTACATGTATTTCTCGTTTGGTTTATCTGTCCTTGACCTCATTTTCTTGGATCATGTTAAGTTTATGTGTTACTTGTAGTACAGTGTTTGTTCTTATATATCTCATGGTTATACTCCTTCTGAGATTTTGTTTTAGAATTATTTATTCAGTCCACAGGTTTCAGTTGCTCATTTCAATCCCAATTTCTGTTGTCAAGTCTTCTTATTGATATCTTTAAAGTGCCTTGTGATAATCTTAATGATTATTAATGTCATATTGCAATGACATTTGTGGACCACAGATGACAGCATTTGTAGGAAGCTTGATGATTTTCCCGTCCTTTGTGTTTGTATTTTATTTTTGATGTATAATTTGTAACTTTATTGGTGAATTAGATTTGATTTATGTGGTCAAAATTTTCAGTTCTTTGTAGTTATAAAATCTTTTGCTAATTGTACCAATGTAGACTTTAATGGATTGATAAAAATATAACTTACTACTAAAAGTTTAAGTAAATTAAACACGGACTACATATTTCAAACTGAACTTATCTTCTCATATAAAAAAAACCTGACATACAATTGACCAAGAAAAATGTCTATTACCAACAATTTTGTAACATTCCAGATTGATAGCTTACCTTGTGGGAATTTCACTCAAACTTTACCATACAATGTAACAGATATGTCATGGATCTATATCACAGTGACCTATATTCAACCTGACAATTACTATGGTTATGATTATATAAAGCTGTATGTGATGGATGATAGGAACAGCTCATCTGAAGTGGTTACCATACAGTTTGCTATTTTGAAATCACCCTGTCAAAACAAAGGGGTGTGTCAAGGTAATATCTAAGTTTTAACCTGTTGATAGTTAGGTAATTCCATGTTGAACTATGGTGTTGATAAAAGCACATTGTGTAGTATTTACATTACCTAGTTGAATAATTGTGGAACTGGTAAGAGATACTGCAGTGACACATAGGGATTTCTTTTTTTTTTTGGTGCACAGCATTGTTATGGACCATAAAGTTGTCTGCATTATCCATGTCACACTTGGTTAATCCTTGAAAACAGCAGTGATCTGAATGATTTTGGGGTTTTCAAATACTGAAACATTAACTCTGGTCTATCAATTAGTCAAATTCAATAGGAAAAATATTTCTTCAGTCTTATGAGATTTGATAGAAAGAAGAATTTTACCTATTATTTACTTGAAAAAGATACGGAAAAATATCTCATGTGCAAAGAGTCAATTATTGGGGGTGTTGCTAAAGGCGGAAACGGAATAAGGAACAGAAACAGAAAGAATTTACATCTTTTCTTTTGGGTTATTTACCTATATGAAGTTATTTTCTTTTAGAACGAAAGGTCATTTTTTCGAAGAATCAACACGGACGATTCCAATTCAATGAAATATGCTTCAAGGCATAAAATAATGATCTGTGTATGTAACAGGGTTCTTGAACGGAATAAAATGATTCGTCTAGATGTTAAAGGTGTTTATTTATACGACATAAATAAATAACCCTGAAAGTACACAAATAACAAAATATAAATACATAGACAATACGGTGTACAAAGGGATATAACTCTAATTCTTATAACGGAAAGTACATGTATAAAATACGATGAACTGGCTCTTTTCTATAAGAATACAACCAATACTATTAAAGTGTATATGTTGTAAATATATAAATTCAATCAAACTCAGTTGTACACCAAGTCAGGATTAAGTGCTATATTATGTCCAATAATCTTACGTTAATCATTCATTGATTTATGAATGATCTATTTGTTACTATAATGTTTACATGTAATTATTGACAAACAGGTAACTACTATTCACAAGACACAAACAATACATTTACTGAACTTAAATCAAATAGACAAACACGGACAATACAGTAAACTAAAAATACATTGAAAACACTGATCTTACCATGTATATGGTACAAAGGTCTATCTCCTATTTGGAAGCATCACCAGATCATAATAATATCAAGATATTCTGGTCCTGTTAAAAATACAAATATAACCTACATAAGTATAATGAACTAAATTATATCTGCATAGCATTTATAAACAATAAGTATAATGTTCAATACTGACATTGCTTTAGACCTTTTATAATAATAATATAACTGTACCAATACATGTATCATTAATATATCTATGATATATTAATTCTCTGAGTTCATGAAAATACTTCTTTAAAATAAAATATCTATGATTCATGCACAATCATTCTGACTTATTCAAAAATACATTTTCTCTCAGATTCAAACTAAAGGAAAACTGTGTAAATATTAAAGACTTAGAAATATTAGTAACTGACCTGATTAACATGAAATTAGTGTCCAGAATATAACTATTTTAAATATGGCTGCTATGATGTATATCTTTCTCTCACAAGGTATTCAAAAAATGTGGTAAAACTTAGAGTTCAGTGACTATGACCAATAGAAGACAAGTTAATATGACACATGACTGACTGACTAATGAACCAGAAAAATAGAGTAGAACTACAGTACTAAGAAGATATAACATACCAAGAAAATAAGATTGCATAAGAGAATAGAAGAATTGATTAACATTTAAAATACATATAATAAAACTACTAATTAATATTAATTATTCTGAAAAAAAATAAATATTAATGTAAAACACTCTACCATATGTATAAGGTCATTATTTTCCCTGATTAAAATGCAAACAATAATTTACTTAAACATTAATTTGTTTGATAGTTAAAGTGTGTTTTTGCCAATTGGGGGTTTACTTTTTAATGTTCCATCTTTGATATGTTTAAGGCAGAAACAATCCTTTTCTATTTAATTAGACTGAAATACCAAAAATCGTCTTTTACACACATTTTATCTTTTGAAACAGATAATGTGAACTTTTGTTAGATTAATTTATCGCTGCAATAAAGGGACATTATACCAGATGAATTTAATAATGCAAAACTTTTCATAACACTTTTAAAACAAGCCAGATTTAACACATTGGTGTGTAGGATTTTGAAAATCTTATTGATTCACGCTGTATTGGAAATCATACTTTGACCTACATGTATGGATATTCGTTTTTCATGTTACATGTACATGTATTACGATTTCGTGCTCTCTTTGTGCCAGTTCTTAATTTTTTACATCTATATATACCTTTTACTCTATCAAATGATCAAATGACCAAATATTCTTATTTTCTATAGAATAACAGCCAAGTATTTTATATTGGGGTGGGGAAGTATAAAATTTAATCCTGATTCTAAGTTTTTAAAAAAAGTGTATTCCCATTCAAAAGAAAATATTCTGAATAGTTCAATTCGTTAAAAATTGTTGAAAAAATAATCTGCTTTTCCGCAATAAAAATGTCACAAAATAAAAATTTTAAAAAAATGTAGCATCCCTCTTTCATAAATTAAGTTGGTACAATAAAGTACTTAATATAAAGTGGCTTGTATTTTTCATACACTGTTATCAGGCGGGTAACAATTTATTTGTGTCTTGCTTCGTGCAGTTACAGTGATATTTTTATTGTGCCTGTATAATGATTTGTAAAATTTGTATCTAGATCAATTAGTGAGTTTTATTTCACGTCATAAATTAGCCGTATGGTACATTAAAACCTGAATGCATCAGAAAAGAATATCCCACTTTAGTGTGGTGGGTAAAATAGGATGCAAATCCTGCAAATCTTTGCAGAAAATGATATTCTATAGATGATATATAAGTCAGATAATGCATATTTTAAGGTTTGTCCTGCCGTATAACACACCTCGGGATGTCAAGATTTCCAAAAAAGAAAAACCTCCCTACGGTGGGTCTTTCGTTTGATCAATCTGGACACCCTCAGTGTGTTAACGACAAGAAAAACCTTAAAATATGCATCATCTTTAACTTATTTAATTTCATAGGCATGTTGATATATATAGTATATCACATGTTTACAAGAAAGAAAAACACAGGAATAAATTTAAGAAAAAAAATTTGAAAGCATATAGTATTGAAATAAATTGCAGGAGATTATGAGCCTATGTTTTTAAAATATTCAATAAGGGCATGCATATTGTATGTAATTTAATTGCATAAACCACTTGCAATTGTTCCATTAGTTTATTTATTTTATATTCTACTCATGAACGTACGTCGTTGGTGCGATTCACTATAGTCTGTTTAACTTTTCAGATCTCAAAAAGAAATAAAGATAATAAAGAGATGTGGGATAAACGTCAATAAGACAGTAACCCAACAACATGTTAAATTCTACATACGGCCTAAAAAGATGGACATTCGCCTCAATTCTAGATAGGTTGTGGAGTCATTTATTTTTTTGGGAAATGTTTTTAATAATTTTTTCTTTGTTTCTTTTTTAATTGCTTTGAATAATTGTTATTAAGTGATGTGGTGTGTCATGTTGTGTTGTTCTGCATTGTTGATTTTCCTGCTATCTTTTCTGGTATAATGGAAAACAATGTAAGAGAAACCCGATGGGACAACCGATATGGAAACCTGGGAACTAGACATAGAAACTTGGTTACACTTTATTTTTATGTAAAACTTGACAAAATCACTCACTATATACAAAGCTTTTCTTACCCGATTACAATACTGAAGTACGTTGTCGGTATTACATCGGAAAAGCATTACCAAATGCTCTCCTAGACTTTAATACTAGTATCAATAGATACAATTTGGTGTGAAAAAAACTGGCGGAAAAACAGTACATGGATATACGATTTGCAAAGTGCCCTTTTCAAGCTAGCTCCAGTCATGTCCTAGGATTTCTAAAAATCAAATTGTCCAAATTGCTTTGAATATCATGTTGTTGAGTTCTTCTTTGAAAATTCAGTCCCTTTCAAGTAGCCATAAATGTAATATTATAATAGTAAAATTGAAAATATTGTCACTCATTCAGTATAATGTTTTAAGCATTACTATAATTGAAAATATTAACAGACATGTATTTATATTCATTCATACTAAAGGAATGTTGGAAGCTTCTCTTATTTATATTAGTAGGTTTTAAAGCAGTGCTTTGTCAAGATAACTGAAAAATCATTATTTTCTGTTCTTTTTATATATTTTTTTATGATGAAAAAGATACTTTATTTTACACTACTCATCTGATCGTTTGGGTGTTTCTACTGGCCAAACACCCAATTATCCAAGACAGTGCCTTGAGAATCAACACCAGGTGGACCAGTTTGAATTTGTTCAATTTACCATGACTCTTTGCTTGCGATATAGCATAGGAATGATGAGTCAATACAACATCGTGTTTTTATCTGATATCCCGTGACTGTTTAATTTCCATTTAAGTAGTTCATGTAGCCACAGTTGGGCTGTGTCGAAAGCTTTTTCAAAATCTTATATAAATATATCTGTCTGGTGTCCTTTATCGATGTGTTTGGCCCAATATAGTATGTAGTTGCAACTGTGATATTTATGAAAAGCATGTTGTTTTTCATTGATGATATAATAATGATCTAGGTGACTCATTATGTTGGAGCACACTATATGTTCGAGCATCTTGCAGAGAATGAAAGTTAAATATACTTAGCAGTACTTTGCCGGTATCTAATGGTCAGCCTTCATGAAAAGTAGACAAATGTCTGCTGTTATCCATTCATCAGGTATGGTGCTGGTATTGAAGGATTGTTGAAAAGGTGACTTATGATAGGTGCTAATTCATTTGATATTTTTAAAGTGTTTTAAGGCTTATTTCATCTGGGCCACATATATATGCTTTTGATGTATTGAGTCCATGTGCTAATTTTGTTCTAACCCCTACTTAGGGAGCTATCATTTGATTTTTATGGGGGGGGCTAGGATGAAAAATTTAGTCCTGCATTTTTTTTTAGTTGTAATCTCTGTCCTGCCTTTTTATTTTTCACTCTATTCGGTCCTGCCTTTTTTTTTTTATTAGTTTATCCTGACTTTTTTTTACATAAACTGTCATCCTGCCTTTATTTTACTCAAAACTCCTGTCATGCCTTTTTTTTTCAAATTTCATCCTAGCCCCCCCCCCCCCCCCCCCCCCCCCCCCCCCCCCCATAAAAATCAAATGGTAGCTCCCTTAAGTAATTTCTATGTCTTTCAATTTTGGATATAGTGGTTTCTTTAGTAGTACATCTTTAGTTAATGACTTCTCAATATATACAATTATAGTGAATAATCCATTTACTGCTTCTGCTCTGTCACTGTCGTTTTCTGATTGTAGACCTGCCATAGTCTTGAGTGGTGGTATACTTTGATAGTTCTTTTTTAGCTAACCTCGCCCAACGGGCCAAGTGAGCATTTCTCATCACTTGGTGTCTGTCGTCCATCTTCGTTGCTGTTAACTTTTACAAAAATCTTTTCCTCTGAAACGCGGTCAAGTTTAAATAGAAATGTTCAGAATTTTGAGCTCTACCTAATGTTCATTCACATCAAAACTGTCAGACAACTTCTTGTAGGAGTTATCACCCTTAAATGACGAATTTTGCCTTTTTTCATTTTTGCCTATCATCTTGAAATATATAATAGATAGAGAGAAACTTTTAAAGAATAAAATGACCAGCAAGACAAGATCTAAAAAGAGGTCAAAGTGTTCGAAATTGTTAGTGCACTAGTTATTGGAGTTTTTGCTCTTTAATGATATTTACCATTTTTTGCAATTTAAAGTTATATGTCGCACGTGGACATATAAACAACCGAACGAAAATTAGGAGTAAGTGCGGAGAGCTAATTTTAATTAGATTGCATTTTTTGGTGCTTTTGCTTAGGGAACGATCATTTAACTTCAATGGGGGGGGGGGGGGGGGGGGGGGTGGGGTTATGGTTTTTTCTTAAAAAATTATTTTGATCCCCTATTTGATGAAAAAAAATATTGTGGTCAAGCAGATGACAAAAAAAAAATATTCTGAATCCAGATTTTCCCCCATACCGTATAGTGTTAGATTTTGAAAAAAATAATTTGATTGATAGCATCGAAAAACTAAAAAAAATGTTCGTGCTTTGCGCGAAAAAAATTTCTGACTCAGACAAAAAACCATAACTCCCCCTTGAAGTTAAATGGTTGCTCCCTTATTATCTTGAAAACTGTAAAAGTTAGATAGAAATTTTAATTAACAAAAATGATCACCAAGAAAAGATCTACAAACACATTTTGATGTAATAGTAATTATAAGTTTAAAGCATTCTTTATAGGAGTGATTGCCATTAAATGACTGCTTTTTTTACCCTCTTTTGTGTTTTTGGTAAAAACTAAATAAGATAGAGAGAAACTGTAAACAGGAAATGGTCAGCAATGCAAAATCAACAAAAATGAAATTTTTGTCATGAATCTATTCAAGTCTACAATGATGGAGAGTTCCCATTGTTGAAGATGCGCATAGACCTAGATGAGCGACACATGCTCTGTAGTGCCTATAGTTTCTTTATCTGTTATGTGTTTCCAAAACTGTTTTCTATTTTCCTTGATTACTAGTATCCTATTTTCAACATACTTGTTGCGTGATTTCATTATTTCAGTCTTTATTGATTTTCGTACTTCACGCCATTTTTTTTCTCAAATTCCGTCCATATAAATATTTCTTTCCGTTTCCGTTCCGTATTCCGTTTCCACCGTTTAGCAACACCCAAATATTGGTTGCTTTTTTAATAAAGTCAAGAGTACTGACAAGACTTGCTTTTCTTAACAAAATGATTTCAGAAATACTGTTTTTAGGAATAACTGGGCTGATCAATATGAACAAATTTGACACAATTTTGGCAGGAATGTTCTTAAGATTGTTCCAATCCGCATTTCTATGGAGTTCAACCGCCACTTTCAATTGTAATAAATTTATTTTCAGCAAAGAACACCAGTAACTACCCTTGTGAAGATACTCACAGAGCTGAAAGTTTTGATCTCTATTATAACTGTGAATGTCCACAAGAGTTTACTGGACTACATTGTGAAGAGGATGTGAATGAATGCCTAAGCAAACCTTGTCCAGATTCTTACACCTGCACTAACAAGTATGGTGGATATGATTGTTCTTGTCCTGACTGTGGATTGGCTACATGGGCTAAAGCTGTGATTGGTCTTTCTGTGATTATAGTCATCATTGCTATCATAGTGATTGTATACTGCAGGATACAAGCTAGGTATATTTTTGTCTCGCCTGCAACGAAAGTCGCGGATAGCGAGACATAGGGATTGCTTTTCTAGCGGCGGTGACAGCTACTACGATCACAGCGTCAACAATTGTTAAGTTTTCTGCTTAAGTTAGTTTGATAGGAACTACTTGTGATAGATCATTGATATTCAATATAAAGTTGCATTACTATCAGTACATATCAGTTTTACGACTATTTTGAGGCCCTGTCCCCCTAGGTCATGGTCCAGTGTCTTTGAATTAACTAGCAATGTTCAATGTTAAATTTTCTGCTTAAGTTAGTTTGATAGGATTTACATATGATAGATCAATGATATTTTGTATGAAGTCGCATTACTATCAGTAAATATTAGTTTGATGACTATTTTGAGGCCCTGCCCCCTAGGACATGGTCCAGTGACTGAATTAATAAGCTATTTTCAATGTTAATTTTCTTCTGCTTAAGTCAGTTTGATAGTACCTACTTTTGATAGATCAATGATATTTTGTATCAAGTTGCATTAGAATGATTACTATCAGTACATATCAGTTTGGTGACTATTTTGAGGCCCTGCCCGCCTAGGACATGGTCCAATGACTTTGAAATAATAAGCAATTTTCAATGTTAATTTTTCTGCATAAGTTAGGAACTAAAGTGTAAAGCATTTTGCAGCAATCAAGAAGTCATTATCATGCATGTTAGAATGACAATCAAAATGATCTTCTTTCGGGTTTAAATATGAAGAGCCATTACATCACATTGTCTACATAACCCTAAATATGCATAGTTACTTTAGAATGTTAGAGGTGAATAAATAGTTTTGGTAGTCTCATTAAATGTAAGGTATCAGCTTTTCGATCATTACTCAATTTATCAACACATACAAACAAATCAAAGCATCGTTGATGTTGTGATCCAGCCATATTCATAGCTAGTCTCATATTCTTTCTGACCGTACTTTTTTCTTTATTTTTTTCTGTTTTCATTTCCAATCTTACTGTAAAATTTCTATGTTATTGTCCAAAGGTAGGGAATTTCGCAATATTGATGCAAATATAGATATATATACTGATCTTTCAATTTTAGACTCTGTCAGATTTTATTTTTGAAAAGAATGGAAAGGAAAATCTTCAAACAAGTAATATATTTTGTGTATGCCTTTAATAATGACAGGTTTAATAATTTCCAGAAATAGGCCTTATAAATGCACTTTCTCAACAACAAAAATTAAAAAAAAATAATAACTATTCTTTATCTAAATTGGTGTTCATTCTTCATTAAGAAAAAATACATTTCCTGTATTCAAATCTGAATGTACAAATACCTAATTCTGAGATATTTCCAATTACTGTTAAATAGCAATATAATGGGATATAAATGTAAAACAAACAAATAAATTGTATTGCAGAAAATGCTCAGATAAGAGTTATGCAATTTTGTTTAATATTTCAACCAAATGTCTGATAATTGTAACTAATTAATTAGAACTTGATTATTGACTTATGTCAGATGATAATGGCATTGATTTTACAAGTAAAATAAAATTTGCTTGCATTTTTTTATACATCTTTTTTTCATTTTAAGTATTTTCTTTGAAAAAAAACCACATCAGATTAATCATTCAGCTAGCCAGCAAAATAAACAGAATATTTTAATGTAGTGTAGATCAAAATAAATAATACATTTGTAGGTTTACTATTGAGGTCAAGAATGTGTGTATTCAGTTAGGTGTGTAATAAATTGTGTCTATTTAATTATGTAACAGGTCATGAGATAAAACTGTTTTGAATTAAGCCTGGGGTTGTTTCTAATTAATACTTATTTGAAAATCATGACAGTTAATAATCATTCTGACTCTTACTTGCCTATGGAAAGAATTGGGTAATACCATTTCAAAAAAGTGTGGGAATCAACTTAGATATAATACACATGTTTAACTACATTTCATTGAACAATAATTTAAACAAGCACAAGATACTAATATAATACTTTCAAAATTCTTATCAACTGATTCAATTGATGTACAAATACTTTTTCAAATTAATTCATAAATAGTAAATTATCATAAATTTTGATTTAGAAAGGAACTATATGCAAATGTATATCTAAAATAAAGTCAGTATTCGACCAATCTATTCTTGATTTGAGGGCAAATAACATGTCAAAAGTTTGCAGTTGATGATTAAAATGGTGTAGAAAGTTTCTGCAAGTCATAAAAACACATAATTAGTTTCATGATATGTCTTCAACTTAGTATTCTGCACCATCTCCAAAACCAGAGTGATCGCATAGATCTAGCATGGCTGAATCAAAAATTGATGTAAAAAAACACTTTATTTAAGGATAAAACAATATACATGCATTTAAGATTACTGAAGTTATTGTATGTTAACGTATAAGGTACACATAAAAAAATATTGTTCAGACAATACCAGAGTACTTCTGTTTATTTAAAAAAATACTAGACAAATATTAATTATTTTTAAAGTAAGAATTAAAACAGGAACACTTTTATTACATTTCATTGGGATTTATTTTTCAGGTACAAAAATAAATGTTTCCATCATACAGGGATTATTACAGACACAGGTAGGTGTTACAAGTTAAACATTGACACCTAATAAAAAAGATCATTTAATCTTTTGTTTACAGCAAAACAAACTGAATTTTTAACCTTGATGAAGAGTATGAGTATTCTAGAAGGTTCACGAAGGTTTAAAATTGGCCCTAAGATTTTATTTTTTTAATCCCCCCAAAGTGTTTCAAATTTCACAAAGAAATAGTTTTGATATTACTATGAGAACAAAATGATTTATTTTTTGGCACATCACATTACTGTAAATTCAGAAATTAATGCGAGGTTTTTATTAATGCGACTGAATGAGTATCGCAATAAAAAGAACTCGCGTTCTTATATCTGATACATATAACTGCATGCAGATTATCCTGAAATCGCAATAATAAATCTCGCATTTTAGTACATTCTAGAAAATTCGCAATGATAAGTGCACGCAATAATTTCTGAATTTACAGTATTAATTACAAAACTATGACCCCTTTGATATTCATTGTTATCATTGTTACATCAGTTTGGGTTCAATTTTCCTATAATTTTATAACCGCTTTAGCAAATTGCCTGGATGCTGATAGTTTCCTCATTGACAAAAAATTAAAGTAAATGAAAATATAGGCAAGTGTTACAAATGAACGCAGTGCAAAACAAACAATTTATGCAGCCCACGATTACTTCCTTTTATTTATTATACGACCGCAAAAAATCTTTTGGGATCGTATAATAGTATGATGTCGTCGTAGTCGTCTGCCATCAAAGACACATTGGTTTCTGGACAATAACTTTATTTTAAGAGAATGGATCTCTATGAATTTTTTTAAGAAGATTCAATACCACAAAAGAAAGGTTGGGATTGGTTTTAGGGATGATGGTTCCAACCGTTTTGGAATTAGGGGCCCAAAAAGGGGCTTAAACAAGCATTTTCTAGTTTCAGGATAATAACTTGTGTATAAGTATTTCGATTGCTCTGAAATTGTACCACAATGTTCAATACCACAAGTAGAAGGTGGGGATTCATTTTAGGGGTAATGGGGGCCAACAGTTTAGGAATTAAGGGCCAAAAAGGGGCCAAAAACAAGCATTTTTCTAGTTTCCAGACAATAACTTGTGTGTTAGTGTATGGATCTCTCTGACATTGTACCACAAGGTTCCATACTACAAAGGAAAGGCTGGGATTGAGTTTTGGGGTTATTGCTCCAAGGGGGGTTTCAAAAAGTTGGGGGGGGGGGGGAATTTTTTTCCCAATTTTTTTAAGGGATTCATATTTTTTTCAAAATATTTAAAATTTCAAATTTTGGAAAAGTTTCAAGAAGAAATCTTCAATTGCACAATATTGCGCAATGGATTTATAAGATCTTTTACCACATTTATTTTGTGTCAGAAACCTATATTATGTCACAAATTTGATCACAATCCAAATTCAGACAGTATCAAGCTTGAATATTGTGTCCAAATTTGCCCCAACTGTTCAGGGTTCGACCTCTGCGGTCGTATCAGGCTGAGCTCAACGAAGCATTTTATGAGAAATTCTGAAACATTTTGATAGGTACAAAAGTACCCTTTCCTATTTAGATGAAGCTTACTGCCCAGAAACGACCTCCCCCCAGCACTGGACATATACATAAAAATGAAAAATATTTTAAAACTTTGTAGTGGTAGAAACCATATGATTAACATTTGATGAAAAAAAAAACCAAAGTAATAACTAACAACCAAACATCTGTATCATTCAGACAGTAGTGTACGCAATATATGTGATCGTGTGTAAAGACATGGAATGCATATACACACCTTGTAATTAAAATAGCATATGTAAACAGTCTAAATTGTGCTAGTTAGCAACTTTGGTCTAGGGATTTAATATAAAACTTGGGATTTTTTGGATCATAGGTTCCGTCCAAGATTTTACTAAAGCTTTTGGGTCTGATGAATGTAAGATATCATCATATTTTGACAATACATTTATCTCCAAAATGTGCAGACTTTGGAGCCTATAATGTACTCTAATGTAGAGATTTGTTTTACTTAGCATTTAGGCTTTTGAAATTGATTTATTTAAGAACGAAATTGTGGCCTTTTTGATATTTTATGAATAAGATGAAATTCAAGGCCATATATTGCCAAAAGTGAACCTTGTCCCTTGCTTGTTATGTAAAGTTCATTGAACAACCATAAAATATTGAGACGTAAAATACCTGATTTACTATTCAGAACAACAAGTTCAATAACTATTGAAATTTCTGTTTATTTAAACTAAGGTAAATATGTTTACAGAGATTAACAATTTACTAAATGTAACAAAAGAATGTCTTGATGAACATAAAGATTGTGAAAAAGTTTCTGGAGCAGGGGTGAACAATGAAAAAACTCTTGGTATGCATTTTGCAGTTGGGAGATGGCAAACCAAAATCAAGTTATTAGTTGTGACTGCACTTACGGGGAGGTGACTGCACTTAATGGGAGTCAATACAGTCAGGAGATCACTGTAAACAAGAATCTAAATGTTAAATGCCCTGTTGTTTTTTGTTTTTTGTTTTTTTTTTATAATGATTGCGATCGAAGTCAAAATAATGAAAGCTATTCACAGGAATAAAATAATTCAAAAAATAGAACATTGCACAAAATTACCTTTCCCAGAAGTTTAAAAAAAAATGTTTAGTTGTTTTCACATGAATACTGAGAGAAACATTAGTATTTTGTCTGAGTACCGTCTACACTTACACTGTGTGTGGATTTGGAGATGTCATTAAACTTTTACAAATATTGAAAATTGATTGTACTATACTTGCCGCGCTTTTTTATGTAATGCATATTTTGAACATATTTTGTTTTTTTCAGTGTATAAAAATGATTGACTTACAGAATGATTTAACATTTTATTTCAGTTGACTGACCTTTCTTTGAATATAAGTTTGAATTTTATTTTTGGTGATAAATTTTTGTCAGACAGATACAAACATCCCTCAGTGTGAGCTTTCTGATTCAATTAAATCCAGAAAAGCACTTCAGATGCACAAAATTTAATTTCAATACATAACTCTTGCTCTTAAAAATATTTATCATGGTGTATGCATTATTCAAAAGTCAAGGTTTTAAGATATCATATTTTCGTATTTTTCCATTTCACATTTTTAAAAACGAATGCATTGTGAATTCATCAGTTGTCATATTAGCTATATTATAAACCCATGAAAACAGTTTTGCCAGTGTATGTATCTAGTACACCTTACCTTCCATGCAAAGTACCAAAAAAGTACCGTTCACAATATTATTTCCATTACTGGAATAAAACTCTTTACTATACACAGCTATTTTAAGTCATTTTAATTTTTAATGATCAAACTGGATCTCTGCATCCTTGTATAAGGTCAATGTTTTTCTGCAAATCTAGCGAAACCAAAGAGTTAACAAAATATAACTACTAATATGGCTACATGTCATTAAGGGGTAAGAGCAAGGACTGATCAACTGGGGTCAATTTCATGCATCTGGGAAGGGGGATACAACTGGGGGTCAGAATAATGTGTCTGGGAAGGGTGATATGACTTCCTGCTGACTGTTACCTTGTGAAATAGATATTAAAAATTTGAAGATCTTCCAGCAAGGTTCTTGACCATTTGTATGGTTCATTGGTCAATGTTAAGTCATCATGGCTAGATCCTTTTCTCAGATTCTATAAGCAATAAGTCAACTTTATTTTGGAATGGAATGATTGTAAAGGGTTTATGTCTCTCTTGCAGGTTTTATCTAACTTTGACCTCATTTACATGTATCTTTTACAATGTAAATACTTGTAGTAAATTCTTTAACTTAATTACTTTCAAAAGAAATCAATCATGATCTGTAAAGCAGTGTCTGTACTCTTGTTTTACTGTAATATACATTTTATCATTTTCCTCAGATTCACATCACTAACTAATGTTACTTCTGCTTTTGTGAGCTTACCTCACAAAACAAAATTAGATTATATACATAACTTACTTATATTCTATTTAGATGATGAAATCACAGTCAGAGATGATTTGGACATTTATAATGATGGACAGGTAATGTACATGGTAAAGTTTATATTAATTTGGGATAGTACCTTTAGCTGGCTCATTTTCGTTACAGCTCTCTGACTTAAGTTTTCTTTATCCAAATTTTATGAAACTCGTACTCAATGCTAAAAATTAAAACTGGCATTCGAATTTGGGCAGTGAGTCACCTACCGTTCTTGAGTTTTGCCCCTTTTTAACTTGAAAAATTGCAAAGCTTGAGTGGGGGCATTTGTGTCCTCAGACACATTCTTCTTTTATTTAAAATTTAAATGCTTTGTTTTATATGAAAAAATGGATGTCTTAGCTTATTTTATCATCTGAAAAAAAATGATTATCTTTTTAAACTTAATGAAAAAGTGTACTTTATATCAATTTTTTTCTGAAATTATGCACACAACTCTTCCAATCTATCCATCAGGGACTTTGATCATTTTGATTTTTGGAAATGTAACCTTTCAGTTTGAAGATGCACGTTTTTTTTTCCATTTTTTTCAGAATTTCAAAGCTGCAAGGGTTGATGTGAAAATGAAATCATCTCTGGTAATTTTTTTGTGAAATAACTATGAAAAATTATGTTCTACATTTCAATCCTTGTGTTATAATAGAAATACTGTCTGAACACAAAATTGCATTTGGGTCAAAATCACCCATCCCAAGTTTTGGTGGGTGGCTGTCTTGAAATGTTTTACAGGAGTTGGTTTAATGGAAAAAATATATTGAAAATAAGATAAAAATGGTTTAAACTTTTGAAACATCAATAACCTAATACAAACCTTTATGGAAAATAGGGAAACTTTTACAAAAGTGCTTCATAACGAGAGATTTCGCATATTTTTTAGAAATTTTATTATCCCCTATTTTACTAATAAATAGACAAGTTTTTTGCAGTCAATAGTAAAGTTAAGAGATTTTAAAACTTGAAAATTTTTGTCATACCCCCCATGGAAATTTAACAAAAAATTGACAAAAGCTTCTTCATAATCAAAAAGGCTTGACAAAGGGTTGTGTAGAACCTATAACAATTTGTTTACACATTTTCAATGATTTTTATAGACCAGTCAAAGACTGGATGTACCATGGTATACCAATGTCCTTCCATCCATCAACATTTCGTACGACTACACAAATTTGCTTTTACCAATTTTCATGTAATTTTATCACAACAGAAGGGTTGTTGGAAGAAACCTCCCTTTCGATTTAGTAAATATTTCTTTTATCGGTTCAAAGTTACGGTACTTTAACAGTTTGAATTGGGTAATTTTTCATATATTGTGCACTAACTCAAGTATGCCTGGATTGATTTCCTCAAAAGTTTACATTATTGTTGGGATTTATAAAAGGAAGGTCCCTTGTGATTTTTTTAATTTTATGGTTTGTCAACCAGAGTTAAGGAATTTAATTGTCAGATTTCAGTAATTTTTTCACATGATGTAACATAACTTGAGTTTACTGGAAAATTTACATAATTGTTGGAATTGTCGAACATTACACAATGTTTGATTTTAAAAAATAATCTGATACGTCATTCCAGAGTTATGGGACTTAAACAGTTGATTAAATAAAAGGCATTATTTACATGTCATGCACTGGGTCTAGTATACTTGGATCAAATTACTACAAACTTAACACTGATGTTGTGGTTAGTGAAAGTAGAAACTATTTTGATTTTGAAAATTTTCTGGATTGTCATTCCAGAGTAATGGGACATTTAACAGTCATATTTGACATTATGCTTATGCTTTTAAAAAGGTATCCTCATGAATGATTTTATACATAGCAATTTTATTTGCTTCTGATAAAAGAGGGGCAAATGATATCAAAGGGACATTAAAACTCTTTAAAAAAACAAAATTTACAACGCCATGGCAGAAAACTTTATCCCCGGCTTAGTATATTTCTAGAATTTTGATTGGTGAACGCACGTCGTTACAAAACCCATAGCCCCTGGGTGTTGCTAACCCATATACTCGGACGTTGCTACCCATTACACCGGGGAACTTCACGCATTTAATCAATTTAATCAACTAACGATTTTATCTTATTATGTCGATCATTTGCACTCATTTTAGTAAATGCATCACTTGGCTGCCACATTTTCAATGAATGGGTCTACTGACCTAGCTATGCAAATGACCCACGTTGACGTCACACCGTCTATGATGTAACTCTCACAACATTGAGCGCCAAATTCGAGCCATTACCGTATCTCTGTCTCTGGACTAAAAACGTCTTATATTTTACTACCTGTAGGGTTCTACCAAAGGTAGTACCCTACACCCCGTTAAAAACATGTCAAGTTCCCAAATTTCAATAAAAGATTTTTAAAAAATGAAAAAAAATGTTGAATTCACGTACACTTTGTGTTCGAATTTCTCTAAAAATCGCCAGATTTGGACTTAAACCGGGAATAAATTCGTTATCTACGTTCATATCCGTAGATATGGATATTTTAACACCCTTCAGTACACTGTACACCCTTCAGCTTCGCCTCAGGGTGTACTTGGATATGAACGTAGATAACTTATAATATACGACCAAAATACAAACAACTGTATACAAAACACAACAAAGATAACTAAAAACTGAGCAACATGAACCCCACCAAAAACTGGGGGTAATCTCAGGTGCTCCAGAAGGGTAAGCGGATCTTGCTCCACATTTGGCATCCATGGTGTTGCTCATGTAAGTACAAACCTGTGATAAGTCTTAATTCGGTAGGTCACATTCGAGGAAAAGAGAACAGGATTGTGGTTATGACAATTGGAACATAATTTGCCTATAAAATGCCTTCTAAATATTCCTTTATATTTTTGCTTTAATTTCAATTTGCACGATAAGGGAGTAGCATGAGTTTTTGGTACAGCTGCTTATTAAGTATTGCAATAAGCCAATGAGATATTTTAATCTGCCAATAATGGTTTACAGGTGAATATGTACTTTATTATTGTTTAGAGTAATTATGAGGTTGAACACTAATGAACTAAGAATAAAACTAATATTATTAATACTCTTTATATTTTACCTCATAGGTACCAGTGGAACAGAATCCACCTGAAAACTTCAACCATATTCTCACAACCAAACAAAAGTCGTATCATAGTGGACCATTAAAACGTAGAAGGGATGTTTGTCATGAACATGAGGATGATGAAGAGGGTGGATTTCAACATCCTCAACCTGGTGGTGTTGTCAAAATACTACTTGCATCCGATAGGGAAAAATTACTCCAGAAACATGGTGTGCCTGATGTGAAAAATTCATTTGCAGAAAATGGAGACCATCCAGCTCCGGGATCACATCAAATGATGTCATTTACAAATGAAGCAATGGAATTAGATCAGCTGTCCTTCCACCCAACTCAAGGATTTCTGCATCAACAAGATAATGGTGGCTTTGAACCCGAAGGCTGGAATGATACAGAGGAGATGGAGGATATAGACCGGACAGAGCTTTTTAGGCGCATAATACTAAAGTCTGCAATGAGACAAAACAACAAAACAGGCAATCAATATGTTGCTCTGGATGATGTCAGTGATGAAGAGAAAGAAACTGATATCTAAAGGACGATTTGAACTGTTGATAATATTTAAATTTTGACTTTTTTTTTATACATTTTACTTTTCTATTTTTTTATCAATTTACTTAGATAATATTTATTCATATTTTAAAACTAAACTTCAGTAACTTTTGTAGAGATTCTGTCTTTCTTCTTCTTGTCAGTATATCCTGGCCATTTTTTTTCTTATGTCTGCTTACACTATGTATAAAAACTGAAATTTTCTTGTTCAATTGATAATTTTTGTTTGTTGACCAATTTTCAATATTTTATGAAATTCCTGATATAGATTAAGAGCATTTTGTTTGACACTTGAAATTGCAAAAATAGTCAAATTATTCAAGCCTGAAGGATCAGATTCGTGTTAATTTCATAGATTAATGAACAGGTTAATTAATATAAGGGAGCTACCATTTAATTTTTATGGGGGGACTAGGATGAAATTTACAATTTATGTAAAAAAAAGTCAGGATAAACTAATAATAAAAAAAAAATGCAGGACCAAATAGAGTGAAAAATAAAAAGGCAGGACAGAGATTACAACTAAAAAAAATGCAGGACATTTTTTTTCATCCTAGCCCCCCTGCCCCCACCCCCTAGAAATCAAATGGTAGCTCCCTAATCTGGACATTTAGGTGCAGACATATATATCACCTGTGATGACACTATGATGTAATTAACATGTCTATTTTACAAAAACTTTTTGATAAAACTAAAATTTATCATTTTCAAATAACTTTATTTAAAACATATATATATATATATTTGGTCAGTTTTGGATTTATATCATATTTTTTTACATGAATCTTTAGAAATAAAATAATGCTTTATTTGGTATCAACTTTTATCAGTCATTCCATAAAAATGCTCTGTAGTTTTGATTTAATAACTTCCAACATAATAAATTAAACAGAACAATAAGGAGAATCTGCTTTCTTTATATTGTATCAAAGGTAGCATTTCAGTAATAAACATTATATTGTAAGAATTTTCCGTTTTTCAAGTTCTTTAAACTGATTTTGATTGAAAATCATTAACAAAATTAAAAGTGTAGAATGTAACTTAACAATTTTTATTTATAAATATTGTAATTTTGAAACGGACATAAAAACAGTTTATTTGTTATTATTTTCAGTTTTGTTTGCTCTGAATACTAAATTTGTATGGACAGGTCTGAAAAAACAGGATTAGAAAGACAAACTGTTGAATTGCTTTATATTTTGGCTGAACAGATGGAGATACTATACAATATAAATAAATTGTCAGAAAGATCAATGATTTTATGCTGGAAAATCCATGATTACTGAATCATAAACAATGTAGGTCCTTTTTAAAATTGCATCTTTTTTTTTATTTAACTGTAAAATGCTTCTTTAAATTGAATAACTGCTGAAGTAATTGTTTTGCTTCAAAACTCAAACAGAACACATGCATAGAACAAAATAACTGATTTTTTTAATTTTTAGAAGGATATGAGGATAAATAGAGAAGAAATTATCAAATTGATATTTACACCTTTGTATGCTATGTCTAAACAGCTGTCATGCACTCTGACTTTCATGTAACCTTACTTATAAATAAAGCTTCCTGTCTTTAAGATTTGTTAGTACTTTCACCTTTGTTTGGTCGGGAATTATGTACATCAGCAATTACAAATGTATGTCATCTGTCAATACATCACTTACTGCGACTTGATTGCAAGTGTGGAAAAATCTGTCATTGCAAAGAATTTTTGTTTCCAAATTACTTTGTATCAACTTATTAATTTGTAAAATGGTGTATCCAACTGCTAGAGGAAGACTTCAGCAAGTCAACAGTTTTAATTGTACAAATTTGTTTTTGTTATTTTTCAACTTGTTCACTAGGTAAACTGGCATTTGACAAGACAAGAGAAAGGTGGATTCATAATTTTACATTGCTAAATTGCTGTCATTTGTTAGATGTTGTGTAACTGTTTTTCTTATTTCTGTTTTACTATGAGCACTGTTCAAAATCCCTCAGCCGGATTTTTATGAAAAATATTAATTTGCTTTAGTGGTAGAAAAAGACACTACCATTTTTCATCTGGTAGACCTGAGTTATCTCCACCTTGATAATACCGGTAGGTTATCACCATTTTAAAATAACAACATGATTTTTTTCTGATTTAACCTTTATCAGGTATTGTTGTGACCAAATATTTTTAAGTACTTTTTACTAATTTTTGCACTTATCAACACATTTAGCTCAACTGGCCAAAAAGACATTGCAAGATTTTGCCATCACTTGGCGATTATTGACTCCTTCCTAAATTTTTTCAATAATCTCCTCTGAAACTATTGAACCAATTTCAACTAAACTTGGGGTGAATGATCCTAAGGTTATTAAGTATAAAGTTAATGTTTTTTCCAAGTTTGTCAACAAACATGGTCACTGTGGCTTAAAATAGATAATATGGGTGAAATGCAATAATTGTCTTTTATCTTGAAAACCATAATAGATAGAAATGTCAAGATCTACCTACCTCCTATTTTCACCAAATAATCGTGTTGCATTGTATCAATTTATTTTTGCATAAATGCCAGATGAGTGATACAGCCGCCTGGAGCCTCTTGTTTTTATATAAACTTAGTTGCTTTAATTCATCCACTTCATTCAGACTATGTCAGATATTAGTCTCATTTGCTATCATACCACATCTCCTTTTTTTATATTATTTTGGTAGTCTTGGATAAAGATTTCACATTTTGTCTTCACTTGAGTTCTTTAGAATTAGCCATAAGGTATAAAGTTCTTGTCTATTGTTCAAGAAAGTATGTTAAATTCTAGATGTATTTTCCTGGTTTTTTGGGGCAATCAATGCTGTTTTGTTATCACTGGGTTGTAGGATAAATAATCCAGGACATAATTCAGAATTTAAAGCATACAATAATGCCACAGATGTGTAAATGACTTGCAGAAAGTATAAAACACTATTTTAGGCACATACCACCAACTTTTCACATGTAATTTGCCCTGATTGGATTAAGTTAACAAAAGCGACCTACAACAGCTACTCAATCTCAATTTTCTGTGTTTTAAATGTATAAAAAGAACTCACTGCAAAGTTTCTCAACGCTCAAATCCTGCTAACTTACACAATTTAATTGTGAACTACAAGATTTTCATCCCTTGTACTGAATGCACAGCCATGAAAGTGACAAAATGCCCCAAAGCATGATTTTGTGAATCTCCTAGAAAAATGTGTATGGTTTTCGATTTTCCCACAAGGGAGACAATTCTTGGTATCCATAATTAGACCATCATCCTTCCTCCTGATTAATGGTAGAAGTGTAAACATGCAGCAATTTACAGCCATGTTTGGAAATTTCATTTTATTTTCTCTCTCTTCCTATATGTTAGAATTGTAAAAATTGTTATCATGGTCGATAAATCATCGTGTTCAAAATGATTCTTATCACCTCTATGAAAAGAGACAAGACAGTGTTGCCTTGTGCAAGAAAACAAATAGTTTTCAAAATCCTAGCTTAGACTTTCATGTGCCTTCTCCACCAGAGGCTTCAAATTTGACCACAGTTGTCTTTCAACACAGGAAGTCTTTACAGGCTCAGAACACTTCCAAATCCGTCAGTACATCCACTATAGACCAAGACCATGAACGTATATTCTCAGCAGCTAAGAAAATGCAGGCAGATACTATGTTTTCTTTAGACAATATTTAAAATTGCTTACTGTGAAAATCAACAACACTGTGTTACAGCTTCAATCCTCAATGGAGACAACAAGGCGCGCTTGTAAAAGTTACAAAAAGGACTGTTCACAATACATTTAAATGTATGACATTAAGTTATATTAAATCCTTCACTTATTCAAATCATTGTCTTTAAAAACAAATTGATAAATGTGTTTATTTTTCAAAATATGGCAAAGGTCAACAGTCAGTCTTTCCTAAACTTGAAGGTCGTGCTTGTATTCTATTTTTTCTACCCAATAAAAAATAACAATCATGCAATACAAAGAAGAATAAAAGGCTTATAAGTTTATCATACACCATATAAAAGAAATACGACACCTTTTCTTGAGGAAAAAACATGCATGAAATAACACCATGAAAATTTAGGCCTGTAAGTATGTCATATAGCACAAAAACCCTCATGGAGATTTTCTATGCGGGTGTAGTAAATTTTGTCATAAATGGATACATATCCTTTTCTAAAATGTGAGATTTTGCCATCACTTGGTGTCCCTCGTCTATCCCTCCGTTGTTAAGTTTAAAAACTGACCCGTATATTTTGAATTTACTTTTAAAATTTTTTGAATATTGAATAATGATAAGTATTTACCCCATTCAGAAATATAAAAACACAAAAAAAAATTGTGTTGGAATCTATCGGAGTAATTATTTAAATGTGAAAATCATATTTATAATTTTATGTTTTTTCTTCATTATTTGTAGACACAGTTATCATGAATCTAATCAAATGACATTATCAATGAAATCAAGTTAAATCATTGGAAGTTATTAATTAAAACCGGTCATTAAATGTATAATGGAGCGTTTTCAGAGCCTTGTACGCAAAGCGTCGACACACGATCTGTATTTTAATCAGATTGCATTAAATATTCTCGCTACTAAATATTTCATCCTAAATAATCTGTTTTTAGAGTGCAAAAAAGCGTTTCGAAAAGAATAATTATAAATATAATGTATGACGTCATGGCATTACCAGAGCAACCGGAAAATAATACCCGAAATGGGTGAAAATTTATTTTTGAAAAAAAGGAAGGGCAACACATTAATTAGACAGTGGAAAGGGAAACTATTTATTTTTGGTATAACGTAAAGCAACGTGTCATATGAAACCGGTAGTGACAATTTATAAACCGAACGTAGCAAATGTTCTCCCTTTATTTCAAGCAAAAAAACATTGAAACTTTATATTTTAGTAATCATTGTGAGATAACAAATTACATAAAACTAGAATGTAAAAGGTAGCTAAATCTGTGTATTTCTTAATCAAACAGGAAGCTATCATTTTTCATCACATTTACCATATGTACCGCCACAAAGGTCGACAACAAGCAACACATATAAACAGATAAAAGATAGAAATGTAAAACATTTCAATAAAGACAAAAAATTAGCACTTAAAGATCAAGAAATTTATTTTACAGCATATGAAATTGGATAAAAAGTAGGTAAGTATAATATTTACAGTTTGAAGGTACTTACATAATCTGTTCCGCAGGCCTAAATTCAATGTTATTTTTCCATAAAAGACCACACAGCCTATTCAGTTCTACATGTGATTTTTTTCTGAAAGTCAGTTCATGTCAGACCTGCTGCAGTACACCGTAAGGAAATGCCTGTACCAAGACAGGGATATTACAGTTGTTTTCCATTCTTGTTGATGTGTTTGAGCTTTTGATTTTTTATTTGTTGAAGAGCGTCTAAAGTACCAAATCATAAAAAAAACAACCTTAAAACAAACAAACAGACAGACAAACAAACAAACAAACAAACAAACAATACAAAACACTCTTCAAAAGGTGAAACCTCGCCAAATCCTGTCCGATGTATATCAATTAAATGATTTGACACAAATTTGACAAAACCAGAGAAAACGTTTTCTTATTGCTGTTTTTGTCTGAAAATTACAATGAGGCAAATTAAGTTTATGGTTCATTTTGGTAAACAATATTGACCTTTTAAAGTTTAGTAACAAATAAAGTTTCATACCTTGAAAACTCGTAGATTTTGACTTACTTATAATTGAAGATATTTTTTGCTTTTCAAATTATATGTATAAGCTAAATGAAACACTGAAAATTGTTTTTCGTCTAAAGCTTATTTTCGATATAGATCGAAGTTTAAATAAAATGAAGTCTCAAATGACCGAAATATCGATTTGTTGCAAATTTGTTTGCTTAATTTTCTATCAGAGTCTACATCTTATGTGTAAATGTTTTATTCAAATTGAAATTTGTGCGGTATATAACTTTTAAACCAGGAATGTAACTTTTTAAAATTATAGATGAAGGCTAAAATATCATAGATACAAATACCATTTCTACTTACCTCACAGTGTTCCTTGTTATAATTAAATTTCAAGTTTCTAGAAAGACGAAATAAAAGATTTGAAATGAGTAAATTATAAGGTTTTAGCACTTACTTCTTAAATGTCATTTGAAATGTAGCGCCTGTAGTTCAAGTTTTCGCCACTTATCGATGTTTGATTTTTCCACCCTTTACACCACCATACCACATGAAAAGTTAAAAACACGTCCATAATCCATAATGCTTTCCTCCACAACAATGTTACCATACGTTACAAATTTATTGTTTTGGGATATAACTTGGCATATTTTGTTTAAAAGAATGAGCCCGAAAATAAAACATGCTTCACAGAAGAACAAGTGATCAGTATGCTGGACTTTCTCATTGACAACATATTTGTTGAATTTGGAGGTAGAATTTTCCAGCAGGTTGTCGGCATTCCTATGGGAATCAACTGTGCACCTTTTCTTATTGTCATATGAGTCGGAGTACTTTCAGATCAAAGAAGCTAGATCATTTAATTTCACTTACAGGTATATTGATGATTTTCTTTTCACTAACAATCCAAACTTTTCTGATTGGGTCACATTAATAAAATTGAGAATGGAAATGGGGAATGTGTCAAAGAGACAACAACCCGACCAAAGAGCAGAAAACAGCCCAAGGCCATCAATGGGTCTTCAAAACAGCGAGAAAATCCCGCACCCGGAAGTGGGCTTCAGCTGGCCCCTAAACAAAAATGTTCACTAGTTCAATCAAAATGGACGTCACACTAAACAACGAAACATATAAATGAACTAAAATTAAAAAAACATACAAGACTAATAAAGGCCAGGGACTCCTGAATTGGGCCAGGCGCAAAAATGCGGCCCGAAAACTCAGTTTAAAAGAAGTCCGAGTCCGATGTCAGAATAGGTACCAAAGAAGAAACTAAGCGAATTGACAATGATACATAAATTAACAAAGGACTACAAGCAGTTACTGACATGCCAGCTCCAGACCTCAATTAAACTGATTAAAAGATTATGTCTTCATCATATGAAAATCAAGCACAATCCCTCCCGTTAGGGGTTAAGTATAATAACATCATAAAATATATGAGAAGAACATAACCCGTATTATGCCAACAACTGGTTTTTAGAATAAATGTGTTTATTTCCGATGCAAAGACCCTTTGAGTGAATCAATTTTAATTCCAAAATATGCCATCTTTAATGACCTGACAACAGTATCGTAACTATATCCCTTCTGAATAAGTCTGTTTAAAGGTTTGGTTAGCTTATGAAGTGAATGACGACATTTTTGTGCTTTGTATAGAATATTACCATAAAAGATTGGATGTGAAATACCTGAACGTATAAGATGTCTGCATGTTGATTTATATTTACGAATGATGTCCTTGTACCGATGATAAAATTTAGTAAATGTTTTGACTAGTTTGTGATATCGAAAATCCTGGTGTCATAATTTTTCAGTAAAACAGAGATTTCTTTCGTTAAAATCAAATACGTTGTTACATACACCAGCGAATCGAAAAAATTGAGATACATAAACACCATAAGATGGCGTTAAGGGAACGTCACCATCTTAGTATTGTCATTTTAGCGATATTTTTAACATTGTCATAAAGCGGGAGGTTTGGCTAGGCATTAAACCAGGTTCAACCCACCATTTTTTCTTAAAATGTCCTGTACCAAGTCAGGAAAATGGCAGTTGTTATCAAATAGTTCGTTTTTATGTATGTTGGCTTTTGTTTTTGTTACACTTCAGTGTTCCTGTTGTTCATTTGTTTCATCTTATAGTTGATGTGTTTCCCTCGGTTATAGTTTGTAACCCGGATTTGTTTTCTCTCAATCGATTTATGACTTTTTAACACCGGTATACTACTGTTTATTTATCGTAAATTTTGGTATTAAGCTTCCCGTTAAAGATATAGATATCAAGATCCAGAAAAGGGCAGTGTTCATTGTTAGTATTAGCTTTATTTAAAGTCAGTTCAGCAGGATAATATATCCTCCCGAACTAGAGATTAAAGAAACCACTGATACAGCTTCCTCTGCCTCATTTCTATGCATTTACCTCGAATTTGACAACAGCGGTCATCTCCGTACCAGAATCTATGACATACTAGGCATTTCAATTTTGAAATTATAAAGTTTCCTTACTTGAGCAGCAATATACCAACTTCACCCACGTATCGAGTATAAATTTCTTAACTCATACGATTTTCAAAAGTTTGCAGCTGCTACTCGGTGTCTGAGCAAAAAATTAACTAGCCAGGGTTTGTCAAAGAAAATCAAATTCTGTGATGTATGTTTACACAGTGTTGGCTGCTGGTCACATTAACATATTATGTCTGTTTAGTTTGCTCACCCAATTTTGTCAATAAAACAATTGTTATACAAGTGGGAGTTTTAGATAGCTATAAAACCAGATTTAACCCACTATTTCCTTTGGAAAATGCCTGTACCAAATCAGGAATATAACAGTTGTTTTCCACTAGTTTTGTTGGTTGATAACGTTTGGTTTTGTCCGTTTTTATGGAATTCCCCTTTTTGAATTTGCCTTGGAGTGTGTTATTTTTGTTATACTTTTGTGCATAATAATTAAGTAATGTCTTGTCAAAATCTTTGAATTAACAATGGACAATTGACAAAAGTTTCAACCTGAGAACATGCAACAAATAATCTCCGAGCAACGCCGATCGTTGATGATAGGCAACCGTAATTTATCGACATTCAAATCTCGTAAAATCAAAAAGGAGCGAGACTGGGTACTTCGATAAGGTACGCGTCTGTTGCTTGCATGTATCACTCACAAAGTATCTAAAGATTTAAGACAGCGAAAATATGTCACTAGTGAGTTGAGACACATAAACATCGCATCTGTCAACCAATTCTTGATGGCGACTGTAAAAATTATATAGTTTTGTTTTCCTCCTAACTCTGTTGGAACAGTTTTTGTGTCGGGAGCACAAACCCTGTTAATAATATAGTTTGAAGATGCACGAGCATAATGTATGCATTGAAATATTTAACAATATACAATGAGGCAGAAGGTATGCTATTGCTGGGAAATCGGAAGTTGACAATTGAAAAGTTAAAACCATCACGGTTTTTTTTTAGATTCTAGTTTTTTAAAAGTATATCTGTTGCTAGACAATACCTTACTATATTTTGCCTTTAAACTGATTTTTAATTCAAGCGTCATAATGAGTCTTTTATAGACGAAATGCACGTCTTGTATACAGAATTATAAGCCTGATTTTTTTTATGGGATTTTTTTCAATATCAAATGAAAGATCAATTTATGGACCAGACCTTCTATTTATTTTTACAATCCTTCATCTCAATGAAGTTCACTGGGATATATGAGATACAATCATTCACTAAAATGTAGGTTATTAAGTGACAGGATATCATCAATATATTTGAAAAAGAATTTAAGAACTTTGCAAGAGGTTGTTGTTTCTTTTTGTCATCTAAATGTTCTGTATGAATTCAGATTTATGCGAGTACATAAATAAGTTGGTTAGTAGGTTTGTCCATTTAATACACTTAGATTATCGACTGTCTTTTGAAATGTCAACCCACCAAACTCGACATATATTTTGTCGACCAGAAATCAGATATTGAACTTAAAGTGGTTAAAGAAAAGTTTAGCTTAAAGTAAAAGAGGGACGAAAGATACCAGAGGGACAGTCAAACTCATAGATCGAAAACAAACTGACAACGTCATGGCCAAAAATAAAAAGTACTTAAAATAAACGCAAAGGAAAAGGTAAATTCTCTGTCCTTTGAAATAGATGAAAAAGTTGAATCTGAAAAATGCACAAATAAGACGCGATAATCTGCAGCTATGTGGAAAGTAGGGGGAAAACATTATAGTACATCTTTATCATAATTCCGATGCGCTTTCTTTGCGCATACACAATAGACTAGTCTTGGTTGATTTTTTTGGGGGTAAAAACGATGGACACAATTGGTAGCAACAGATAATATAAATCGAATGGTTAAAACATGAAGTCTAATTAATTTAAAGAAACATTTGCATTATTTTTTTAAAAACTGATCAAAGCTATCAGGCTAATAATTTGGTATATTAGGCATAACTTTTTTGAATTTTTGATTTTCACACTGATCGTCAACTTCGTAGGCGAAACGTGTATAATTCTTATTTAAAACGTACCAACTTCATCAAGTGTTATTTTCTTAATAAGATTTTTTTAACAAAAGTAAACTTTTTTTCATTTTCTTAGATATCAGAATAGTCATCTGATCTTTTACTTTTAATTGTACATATGGGGCAGTAACTCCTTCTTGACTCATGGCAAACGTTTTTCCGTTCATCCGGGTCTTTGGTAGGATTCTAATTTCTCACTTTTCGGTGTAGTTTGATATACTGTTTGATTTTCTGTTTTGTATATTTCTTTTGATTATGATCCAAAGGGTTGACTGGGGTATAAAAAATATGGCCATCACTAGTCTCTCCCGTTCAATTGGTTTGTGGGGTGTATAATAACGAATCCATGTCCGGTCGAAATAAGGAGGTTAAATCCGATGCATCTTGAAGAAGGCGCGTCACGCTTTCTGTACGTTAAAGAACCCTAGCAACAACTTTCCGAGGTGTCCGTATGTAGTCTGTTTCTGGGTAAAATGTATGACTTGATCCAATATACCCTGTAATTATCATCTGACAGTCGAAATTTCCCGCACTTCATCCCGGTTGAACCCTACAATGCAGAACCTACCTATATTTATTAAAGTTAATTATTCTCGTCCTGAGCATGCATGAAATATTTAACACTGGACGTAAAATAAACAACAATAATATCATAAATCAATCAATCAATCTTTTGAATATCGTGTCGTCTGTTGTTCTCCGACTTATACTTGATATGTCCCCTTACATATTTTTTTTAAATTTTAACTCGAAATTGAAATCTAGCCAAACGATAATAATGTGTTATTCTAATAAGGTAGATATATAGCAAAATACAAAGTGGTTTATTCAGTTACAAATAGTACAAAATGTCCAACATTAAAAAAGATTTTATCCAAACTTTATTAACCTGTTTGAAATGATACATTTAAACATGATAGTGTCTACATGAATCGGTTTGAACAGATCATAATTGGACAGAATTATGTATAAAATAAGAAAATGGAAATGAAAGTTTGATTTCTTCTTATATCAAGTTGAAAATTTGCTGAGAAATAATTCCAACTATACATGAAACGTTTTATCTATAGAATTTTTTCACTAGAATTAAACTTCTGTTTCCTTCTGTCTTTGGCAAAATATAAATTGTCGTAGTAACTGTGATGTGCAGATCGGAAGTTCTAGATTTCTATTCAGCTCAAAGTCTTTATTTTCAAGTTCCCGGCTATTAACCTCATCTACATATTCCTTCATTGCGGCATTAATTTTTAATGTTAATTGATGAATATCAACATCTCGTTGCTTTTCAATCTCGTTACAGAATGTCTGAATAAACTTTGACCCTTTATTAGTGTTCCATTTGTCCTCCTCTTTGACCAACTTTGACCAATCTAATTTTTCAATAGAACCTAAAATAGGCATATAAACATAAGAATTAACAATGTATATGAGATGATCTTTATTCACATAAGATGGATTTGATCGTTTTCATTAAATCTGCTATCAATTATTAATTTTGAATTAATTGCGTTTCTAGAAAAATACAAATAGATTCCGACGTGTATCGAAATAATATTAAATATCATATATAAATTGACACCTCTTGTGTTTCTCATACCCTGTCGACAGTGTAAGTTTACGCAAAAGAAAATTCTGTCATTAACCTTTTATATGTTGATTCTCAAGATTTTAAATCAAGTCAAGATTTTTATCTGCAAGTGTCCAATTCAAAATTAGAAAAAATAACAGCTTTGCAAATCTTGATACTTTAGTTCTTTTATAAAATTGTTATCTATATAAACTTTTTTACACAATATTCTTGAAAATATAGATAAATGAAGGCTTTAATATATTTATATTTTTAGAATATTATCTTAACGTTAATGTAGATTGATTGATTAATTGGTGCTTTACGCTACTTTCAGCACTATTGGCTTTTTCGTGACGGTCAGTTTTTATTGGTGGAGGAAGCCGGAGTGCCCGGAAAGAACCACCGACTTCGGTAGGAAAACCAACAACCCTAGTCAATTATCATTGTAGTCGAACACACCTGCCACGTGCAGGGTTCGAACTCACAACCTCAGTGTTGACAGGCTAGTGGACCAGTAGTTAAACTACTTAGAATACTTGGCCACCGGGCCCCTCGTTAATGTAGATAAAAATAAATAGGGAATGTGTCCATGGGACACAGATGATGTTCACGCTTGCATATCATATAAAAGGGACATAACTGAAGAATGGTAAACTTGACGCTACCCAAATTTGTACTTGATCTGAGTTTTGTGGTAATAAGTATTGTGTATAAGTTTCATAACATTTGGTTGAGGCAAACTTAAGTTAGAGAACGGAAACGAAAAAATTAGCAATTTTTCCATTGGTAAAGGGTCATAACTCTAGAACGGTTAAAGTGACACCACCAAAATTCAAACTTGATCTGTGTTATGTGGTAATAAGCATTGTGTGTCAGTTTCATAACATTTAGTTGAGGCAAACTAAAGTTAGAGAACGGAAACTAAAAATTCAGCAATTTTTCCATTTATAAAGGGGCATAACTCTAGAACGGTTAAAGTGACGCAACCAAAATTCGAACTTGATCTGTGTTTTGTGGTAATCAGCATTGTGTATAAGTTTCATAATATTTGGTAGAGGCAAAATAAAGTTAGAGAACGGAAACCAACTTTGGGACGAACGGACGGACGGACGTACAGACGGACAAGGGTAAAACTTAATGCCCCCTCCGCTACGGCGGGGGCATAAAAATATAAAAGAAACTGACTAAAGTATTAGATTTGCAAAGCAATTATATTTCCTATTTTGTCCACTGGAAATTCCAAAATATAACTATTACACATGTATGAATTTGATCCAAGTAGATTCTACAAAGCTCTTGCAGTGTCCTCCTGACTGACAGATCCGTTTCTATCAATTGTATTCTTTTTAATTATTTTTTGTGATAGCTGATTTACATTGACCATATTTTGTGCATGACAAACCAGTAATAATATAACAAATAAATTAATTGATAATATTAAAAAAAAATATATCATCCTAATTTTATCCAGATTGACTCATTCTCAAAATCTATCTTAAATCCCGATGAACATATTTTGACCAATGTTGTTAACTATTTACATACACTGCTAAAAGAGTCATTAGTGGTCAATGGATCATGCATAAATATGATGAATGTTTATAAAATTTCATGTTGTTTCAATTTTTCGGTTGTTAAATCAAGTTATTTCTATGTTGTGCCTTGGAGATACAAAGACATTGTGTGATGTCATGCTACTAGGTGTTAAAGCAATACGACTTATAATAACAACAAGAGGCGGTCAAAAAGACAGTAAACCGGTTTTTTTTTCTCTCTCATTTATAAATGTCATTGTCTGTAATCAAGGGCCATTACTCCTGACAAGCAAAAGTGAAAACCCTGTCTGACCTGAATTGAATCAACATATAAATTGTTTAAAAGGATTTGATCAAGGGTATTCAGGTTATTGCAGGGAATTTACAAAAAGTGCCAATTTCGTTCCAATCATCCAATCACTTTCGAATGGCAAAATATCAAACTTGACGTAGAAATTGTAAAAATTGAAAAACAACCAACATACTAAAATAAAGTTTAAAAAAGCATTGGTTGAATGGTTCAAAGCTATTGCACAAAAAAGGGAATTTATCAATCAATCAAGGACCATAACTCCGGAACTGCAAATAAGCTTATTTTGTCATCATTAACATCAAAATTTAAAAAAAAAAAGATTTGGTGAACGGTTTTTTAAAAATGTATTGCACGGGAATAGCTGAAAACGCTCACCCGCTCGCCCGGATGCCAGTCGTACAATCCCAAAATCAATTACAAGGTTTTAAAACCCGATTCATCCGAACCATGTAGATCGATTTTTACGTAATCTCTACTTAAGCATAAAGCCTACAGATCAAATACCATCCACTGTCGACCCATTTGATACATGTAGATCGATGTTTACGTTATCTCTACTTCAGCTTACAAACCAAATGCAATCCACTGTCGATACATCCGATCTATTTATATCGATTTTTACGTAATCTCTACTTAAGCCGAAAGCCTTCAAACCAAATGCCATCCACTGTCGACTCGATCCATCTGATCCTTGTAGATCGATGTTTACGTTATCTCTACTTCAGCTTACAAACCAAATGCCATCCACTGTCGATCCATTCGATCCATTTATATCGATTTTACGTAGTCTCTACTTAAGCCAAAAGCCTACAAACCAAATGCCATCCACTGTCGATCCATCTGATCCACGAAGATCGATGTTTACGTTAACTCTACTTCAGCTTTATACAAACCAAATAGCATCCACTGTCGATACATCCGGTCCGTTTTGATCGATGTTTACCTTATCTCTACTTAAGCTTACAAACCAAATGGCATCCGCTGTCGATCAATCCGATCCATTTAGATCGATGTTTACGTAATTTCTACTCAAAGCTTACAAACCAAATGGCATCCACTGTCGATCAATCCGATCCATTCGTAATTTCTACTCAAAGCTTACAAACCAAATGACATCCACTGTCGATCCATCCGATCCATTAGATCGATGTTTTATTTTACATAATCTCTACTCAAGCTTACAAACCAAATGGCATGCACTGTCTATCCATCCGATCCATTTAGATCGATTTTTACGTAATTTCTACTTAAGCATAAAGCATACAAACCAAATGCCATCCACTGTCGATCCATCTGATCCATGTAGATCGATGTTTACGTTATCTCTACTTCAGCTTACAATCCAAATGGCATCCACTGTCGATCCATCTGATCCATTTAGATCGATGCATACGTAATCTTTACTTAAGCTTACAAACCAAATGGTATCCACTAACGATCCATCCGAATCATTTAAATCGATGTTTACGTAATCTCTACTTGTTAAGCTTACAAACCACATGGCATCCACTGTCGACACATCCGATCCATTTAGATCAATGTTTACGTTATCTCTACTTTAACTTACCTGGGATACTACAATGATAAATCAAACTGTCGGCCAGATTTGGCGGTCTTATCTTTACTTTAACTTACCCGGGATACTACAATGATAAATCAAACTGTCGGCCAGATTTGGCAGTCTTATCTTACTTTAACTTACCCGGGATACAACAATGATAAATCAAACTGTCGGACTGAGTTGGCAGTCTTATCTCTACTTTAACATACCCGGGACACTACAAAAATAAATCAAACTGTCGGCCTGAGTTGGCAGCCTTATCTCTACTTAAACTTACCCGGGATACTACAATGATAAATCAAACTGTCGTCCTGAGTTGGCAGTCTTATCTTTACTTTAACTTAACCGGGATACTACAATGATAAATCAAACTGTCGGCCTGAGTTGGCAATCTTAAATTTATTTTAACTTACCCGGTATACAACAATGATAAATCAAACTGTCGGCCTGAGTTGACAGCCTTATCTCTACTTAAACTTACCCGGGATACAACAATGATAAATCAAACTGTCGGCCTGAGTTGGCAGCCTTATCTCTACTTAAACTTACCCGGGATACTACAATGATAAATCAAACTGTCGGCCTGAGTTGGCAGTCTTATCTTTACTTAAACTTACCCGGGATACTACAATGATAAATCAAACTGTCGGCCTGAGTTGGCAGTCTTATCTTTACTTAAACTTACCCGGGACACTACAATGATAAATCAAACTGTCGGCCTGAGTTGGCAGCCTTATCTCTACTTAAACTTACCCGGGATACTACAATGATAAATCAAACTGTCGTCCTGAGTTGGCAGTCTTATCTTTACTTTAACTTAACCGGGATACTACAATGATAAATCAAACTGTCGGCCTGAGTTGGCAATCTTAAATTTATTTTAACTTACCCGGTATACAACAATGATAAATCAAACTGTCGGCCTGAGTTGACAGCCTTATCTCTACTTAAACTTACCCGGGATACAACAATGATAAATCAAACTGTCGGCCTGAGTTGGCAGCCTTATCTCTACTTAAACTTACCCGGGATACTACAATGATAAATCAAACTGTCGGCCTGAGTTGGCAGTCTTATCTTTACTTAAACTTACCCGGGATACTACAATGATAAATCAAACTGTCGGCCTGAGTTGGCAGTCTTATCTTTACTTAAACTTACCCGGGACACTACAATGATAAATCAAACTGTCGGCCTGAGTTGGCAGTCTTATCTCTACTTAAACTTACCCGGGATACTACAATGATAAATCAAACTGTCGGCCTGAGTTGGCAGTCTTATCTCTACTTAAACTTACCCGGGATACTACAATGATAAATCAAACTGTCGGCCTGAGTTGGCAGTCTTATCTCTACTTAAACTTACCCGGGATACTACAATGATAAATCAAACTGTCGGCCTGAGTTGGCAGTCTTATCTCTACTTAAACTTACCCGGGATACTACAATGATAAATCAAAATGTCGGCCTGAGTTGGCAGTCTTATCTCTACTTAAACTTACCCGGGATACAACAATGATAAATCAAACTGTCGGCCTGAGTTGGCAGTCTTGTTTCTTCTTCTTTCTCTATTGAAAATTTCCAGGGACTTTTTGTGGAAATACTTGAATCATCCGTCTACAAAAGAAAGTATTTTTTAGGAACTTGAGTTTTGAGTATTTGGGTTGTAGAAAACTCCATAGAATTTCTGTTTAATGCTGTTTGTGTTAGTAGCAAATACAAGTAAAATTAGGCATTATGTCAAAGCATTTCGATGCATTGTATTTCACTTATTGAATGACTATTTTCAAAACTTCTCTTAAAACGAAATCACGATGGTTATGTACTTTCTTGATTTTGCCCTTTGAAATAATGTTTCATGTGGATTCTGATTACACCAGCATTCTACAGCATTGACATCATTTTGAAATGTGCTGTTAATATTCTTAAGTGTTTACGAACCTGCAATGTTGAATCACGAGCATATTAACCCATGTTTGATTATTTAAATGTTTTATCAGATTTAATATTTACATGTTGTACCTGTTGCTGTTTGGTTTGTCAGATAAACATAATTTTATCCAATTTATCCTTTTTTCTCCGATATAATCAAATTTGACTTTTTCTCTCAGTATTAAAATCCGTACCAACAATTTCTCCATTCAATTTATCTAAATACTTTAACCATTCGTTATTTAGTTTTTTCAGAGAGGTTTGACATCAACGACCTCGTCTCAAACCTCACTGAGCTAATATGTAGTCATTTCTTATTATTCAAGAAGTTGTATAATTATGTATATACACGTCTTTCAAAATTCTTAGATACATGTGTATGGTACTCAATAAAAAATTAAACAGTAACAAAATAATATGCATATCAGATGTATTATTTCCAATAGGTTTGAAGCAAATGACGAAAAATGAACATTTATTTTGAAATGAACAACATCAAAAACATTACTTTCTCTCCCTTTAAAAAGAAATTACTTGCCTGTAGAATAAATATCTTGGGTTTTTCTCTTAATCCTATACAGTTTTCTGTATTAAAGATATGGATTACTTCATCAACAGAAATATCAACACTATTGACGTCCTGAAAACAGCCATTCATATGATGGCAGTAACTGATTATGACGCATAATAAAAAATCTCTATCTACTGTAAATTCTGATTTTTCACCTGAAAAAAAAAACATCAATATTTAACATTGTATCATGTGTATTTTTCCCAGTATATCAAGTTGTCATGGTGTATATAATAAAATGCTCCGCTGGGCGCAGCTTGATACGACCGCAGAGGTCGAACCCTGAACAGTTGGGGCAAGTATGGACACAACATTCAAGCTTGATACAGCACTGAATTTGGATTGTGATTAAATATTTGACACAGCATAGGTTTCTGACACAGAATGAATGTGGTCTAAGAACTTAGAAATTTTTAATTTACCTATTCAAACCATATCATTATTATTTGCTTTTATATATAAATCAGAAATAACCAATTTAAAATGGAAAATTTTAAAGAAAAAAAAGGAAAAAAAAATGCCACCCCCCAATTTTTTGAACCCCCTTATGATTCATCACCCCCAAACTCAATCCCAGCCTTCCATTTGTGGTATGGTACCTTGCAGTACAATTTCAGAGAGATCCATACACTTGAACACAAGTTATTGTCTGGAAACTAGAAAAATGCTTGTTTTTTGGCCCCTTTTTGACCCCTAATTCCTAAACGTTTAGGGCAATTACCCCCAAACTCAAACCCAGCTTTTCCTTTGTGATATGGAACCTTGTAGTACAATTTCATAAAGATCCATACACTTACACACAAGTTATTGTCCTGAAACTAGAAAAATGCTTGTTTTTTGCCCCTTTTTGGCCCCTAATTCCTAAAATTTTAAGGCAATTACCCCCAAAATCAATCCCAGCCTTCCCTTTGTGGTATGGTACCTGACAGTACAATTTCAGAGAGATCCATACACTTGAACACAAGTTATTGCTTGGAAACTCGAAAAATGCTTATTTTTGGCCCCTTTTTGACCCCAAATTCCTAAACGTTTAGGGCAATTACCCCCAAACTCAAACCCAGCTTTCCCTTTGTGATATGGAACCTTGTAGTACAATTTCATAAAGATCCATACTCTTACACACAAGTTATTGTCCTGAAACTAGAAAAATACTTGTTTTTGCCCCTTTTTGGCCCCTAATTCCTAAAATTTTGAGGCAATTACCCCCAAAATCAATCCCAGCCTTCCCTTTGTGGTATGGTACCTTGCAGTACAATTTCAGAGAGATCCATACACTTGAACACAAGTTATTGTCTGGAAACTCGAAAAATGCTTATTTTTGGCCCCTTTTTGGCCCCTTATTCCTAAATGTTTTGGGCAGTTACCCCCAAACTCAATTCCAGCTTTCTCTTTGTGATATGGAACCTTGTAGTATAATTTCAGAAAGATCCATACACTTACACACAAGTTATTGTCAGGAAACTAGAAAAATGCTTGTTTTTTGCCCCTTTTTTGGCCCCTAATTCCTAAAATTTTGAGGCAATTACCCCCAAAATCAATCCCAGCATTCTCTTTGTGATATGGAACACTGTTGTACAATGTCAGAGAGATCCATTCACTAACACACAAGTTATGTCTGGAAGTTACAAAAATACTTATTTTTGGCCCCTAATTCCTTAACTGTTGGTACCATATCCCCCAAAATCAATCCCCACCTTCCTTTTGTGGTATTGAACCTTATGGTAAAATTTCATGGAGATCCGTTCACTTAAACTAAAGTTAGAGTGCGAAAACCAATGTGTCTTCGGACGACGACGACGACGCCGGACGACTACGACGACGACGACGCCAACGTCATACCAATATACGATCGCAAAATTTTTTTGCGGTCGTATAAAAATAAGGAGATGTGATATGATTGCCAATGTGACAACTATCCACCAGAGTTAAAATGAAGTGGGAGAAAGCAATTTTAGGACACCGTACGGCCTTCAACGATAAAAAAAAAACCCATATCGTATAGTCGACTATAAAAAGGCAACGACATAAAAATGTAAAACAATTCAAACGGGAACAGCCTAATTTATAACAAAGCAATGTACTAAAAACAAATATGAAAGATACAAACCGTCGACAACCTGACTAGTTCGGACAGTAGGTGTCAGGCACATAAGGAATGTTGCGGGGTTGAGTATGTTTGTGAGCGCTCAATCCTCCCTTAACCTGCAACAGTGGTGTAACAACACAACATTAGAACAAATTGTAAATATCAGTTGCTATTGGCTCATCTCAAAAGATCGATACGAGGGCACAGAGACAACTAACATAAAACCAATAGACACAAAACATCGAAATATGATTACGCGCAGTTACTGAAAGCTGTTTCGAGGCCAATGACAACTAATAAACAAATCATGTTAATGATTTCATTGAAAACGAATATTCATAATACATGTACATTCAAATATGGATACTTCAAGGACAAACTTTGTGTTACATGTACAGATTCATTACCCACAAGTTCATTTCAACAACAAAAAAACAGGTCATCTACGGAATAACACACCTTTCCTTCTCTGGTTTTGAATCTCATGAGAATCTCATGTAAATCATGGGTCACGCTTTATTGTTTACTATTTCTCCCTTGCTGTGTGTGTGTGTTCATTGCTGTTGTTAAAATTGTTACATCACGGTTTGTCTTGTAATGGAAAGTAAATTCATTTTTATTTTAGTAATTTTGTCTAGAAACAATGTATGCTAACTTATTTTTAACAATTGTGTTAATATTGTATCTCTGTCGCTGTCCTGATTAAAAACTTCAGGTTCGGCAAATCCAAGTTGTTTGAATGTATCCTTTAGACTCTTGGTGTCAGCATCAATACTGGTCTGGTCGGAACAACAGTCTTTAACTTTTATTGGAATAATTATTGGCTTACAGGATGGTATTTTACTCAGAGTATAAGTCTCCATATGGGATCATATGGATCAGCTGTAAAAGTTAAACAAATAAAATAATGTATACAATTACAGACCGAATAATTTAAAACATACTCACGGTAGGTATAGTGTCCGGCTAGGATCGTGGTTTTTCGAGTGATTTGATCAGGCTTTTTCGAGTGTGACCACTTTTTTTCAATATGATCAAAAATGTAAACAAACAGACTTCATTTCTGACAAGACGTGATATAGAAGCTTGAGTTTAATATACAAGGATATACGAGGTGTGTTAGTATTTGAGATAAAAAGATATTATCAATCCGACATTATTTTTCGTTAAAAAAGTTGAATTTAGCCTTACAATGCTTTTATTCCAAAAAACAGAATAAAGCCATTTTTATACACATACCAATGCAAATGTCGATGGAAATGCATACATGGAATCCATATATCCTTAGATATACAGACACTTTACAAAAAATCTTGTTGTTGCATTGAAATCGACATTTTGACACTAAATTAATTTCTATGTGTTCTGGTTTTTTCGAGAGCAGTCCGGGCTTTTTCGAGTGCGTCCGTGTTTTATCGAGTGATTATACAAATTTCCTATAGCTTAGAATGTTATGTGTCAATGTATTTACGTTTAAAAACAATAAAAAGGGCTCAAAGTATGTACTTTTTAAGGCACGAAACCAATGCATTCATCAGTTTGATAAAGGTGTACTAACACTTACACTTTATAAAAAAATATCAGTCATTTGTATATATTGTTGTTTGTCACATCTTATAAATTACATGTACAGTATGTATTCATGATGTCAACAATATAATGTAAGCATAGACAATTTGGATTGAGACGTACGTATAAATAGTGAATTAAGCTGACGAATTATTCATTTCATTGTTAACTATATATGAAATTTAATTCAGATTTTATTGTCAATGGGAATAAATACTGGTCGGATTAAGTGTGTAAATGGTTTTTGTTGTTATTAATGAAGTTTTTTTGTGGGGTCAGGGGGCAGACCTCTTGTAATAGAATATTTTTTATTACATATAAAAACGAAGATTTGGTATGATTGCCAATGAGACAACTCTCCACAAGAGACCAAATGACAGAAAAATTAACAACTCTAGGTCACTGTACGGCCTTCAACAATGATCAAAGCCCATACCGCATAGTCAGCTATAAAAGGCCCCGAAATGACAATGTAAAACAATTCAAACAAGAAACTAACGGCCTAATTTATGAACAAAAAATAAGCGAAAAAATAAATGTGTAACACATCAACAAACGACAACCACTGAATTATAGGCCCCTGACTTGGGACAGAAACATACATACAGAATGTGGCGGGGTTAAACATGTTAGCGGGATCCCAATCCTACCCCTAACCTGGGACAGTGGTGTAACAGTACAACATAAGTACGAACTATAAAAATCAGTTGAAAAAGGCTTAACTCATCAGATTGATACAAATAGAAATACATCTAACAAAAACAATGCATTTTTCTGATTCTTCTCTGCTGTCCTGTAGGTTTCTTACTCTGTTTTTAAATAAACAGCTGCGCCCGTTGCGTTTTCAAAGAATAAAGTTTTTTCTCTTATGGTTGTGGCTTATTATATACATTTTGTATTTCTTGCACGAATAAACATTTCTCATATCACACTGCACGGAGTGTGATACGAAAATTTGCGTAAAATTTGAATAGCTTATCCAGCATGATAAGACGATATTACGCCATTTCTATTGGCTATTCGTTAAGTCATTGATGACCATCAAAGGTTACGACGATGTACATTTCATGTGCAAAATATTGTACCAACGATTTGCGAAATTTTTAGTTTGACACAATGAGAGTGTTGACCATAAGACAAATACGGTTAACAACTTGTGAGAATGGGGTATCGCTTCATATCAACTCTTGTTATTTAATTCAAGTAAGTAAGTAAGTAATTTCCTCTCGTTATTTAATTCGAATAGTAATAATAAACTCGCTTCGTTTATTATTATATTGAAATTAAATAACTCGAGATGATATCAAGCGATATCCATTCTCACTCGTTATGAAGCCTTTAAATAATTTCTCAATGTCAAAAAAAACTAAAAGGGAGGTAACCATAATCTATATAAAGCAGTCACCAAAGTTTCATGAAAACCCCTCAAAGCACTTTAAAAATATTGTCCGAAAACAGTAAAATCACCCCTTTTTAGTTCACCTCGCCCCAAAGGGTCAAGTGAGCTTTTCTCATCACTTGGCGTCCGTCGTTGTCCGTTAACTTTTACATTGTGTCGTCCCGTGATGCTCGGATATATACGTCTAGAGTTTTAATTGCCATTGAACAGATCACAATCTGAGCAGCTTAATAACTGTATTTTAATGTTAAAGACAGAGGATCATGTACAACGCAAACATTTTTTACAAAAATATTTTCCTCTGAAACTTATACACCAAGCTCATGATACATAGAGATAACTGTAAACAGCAAGAATGTTCAGTAAAGTAAGATCTACAAACAAGTCACCATCACCAAAACAGAGAATTTTGTCATGAATTGTATTCTTGTCTTTAATGTAGAAGAGTGTCCTTTGTTTAATTTGCACTGCAGCACATAGACCAAGGTGTGTGACACAGTCTCTTTAGAGCCTCTAGTTTGTTTAATAAAATCCAATAACTCGGAAACGTAAAATCTAAAATTTTTAAAATTCGAAAGAGAGGATACCTCAATAGATATAAACAATTCACCGAAGTTTCATGTAGATTAGTTACAGCGTTTTTGAGTTATTGTCCGACATGCTGACGACGGACGGACAACGGTATACCATAATCGTACCGTATAAAAACTCCGAGGTTCACCACGAAAAATATAACTAGAGGCTCTCAAAAGCCTGTGTTGCTCACCTGTATTACTGATGCTTTGGAAATCGTGTAAAATAAGGTTAAAATCATAATTAATAGTATTAGATATTAGATATTATAATGATATCTAAGGTAATAACAAAAAACTGCAAAAATTTTTGTAAATTACTAACTCAGGGGCAGCAACCCAACAACAGGTTGTCGGATTCGTCTGAAAATTCAGGGCAGATAAATCTAAATCTGATGAACATTTTTGCCACATGTCAGATTTGCTCTAAATTCTTTTTCAGAGATATAAACCAAAAACTGCATTTTACCCCTATGTTCTATTTTTAACCAAGTCGGCCATGATGGTTGGAAGGCGGGGTCATCGGACAAATTTTTTAAACTAGATACCCTAATAATGATTATGGCCAAGTATGGTTAAATTTGTCTCAGTAGTTTCAGAGAAGAAGATTTTTGTAAAAGATTACAAAAAATTGTTAAAAATTGACTATTAAGGGCAATAACTCCTAAAGGGGTCGACTGACAAATTTGGTCATGACAACTTATTTGTAGATTTTACTTTGCTGAACGTTATTGCTGTTTACAGTTTATATCTATCTATAATAATATTCAAGATAATAACCAAAAACTGCAAAATTTCCTTAAAATTACCAATTCAGGGGCAGCAACCCTACAACAGGTTGTCATATTTGTCTGAAAATTTCAGGGTAGATAGATCTTGACCTGATAATCAGTTTTACCCTATGTCAGATTTACTCTAAATGCTTTGTTTTCAGAGATATAAGCCAAAATCTACATTTTACCACTATGCTCTATTTTTAGCCATGGCGGCCATCTTGGTTGGTTGGCGGGGTCATCGGACACATTTTTTAAACTAGATACCCTAATGATGATTGTGGCCAAGTTTGGTTAAATTTGGCCCAGTGGTTTTAGAGGAGAAGATTTTTGTAAAAAGCTAACGACGACGGACGACGACGACGACGACGGACGCCAAGTGATGAGAAAAGCTCACTTGGCCCTTCGGGCCAGGTGAGCTAATAAACTGTGACAACAAAAATACCATAAAATGAAGTTGAAAAGATTATGAGTCCCCTGCACTATGTTCTAAAGACCTTTTTATAAAGGATCCAATAATTTCTAATTTAATACTGGAATGTTGTGGTAGAACGTTTTCCGAACAGAAAATTTGCATTAAATTGAAAACGGTTAATTTTGATCAACGTGGTAATATGTTTTTGTGATTTATTGAGAATATATGATATTTTCATTCATTAAATCACATTTATAAACTAATAAAGTCATTTTTTAAAGTCAAGAATACCTTTTTTCTTATTAAATTTTTCGTTAAAAAACCCGGACCATTTGTTTAAAAACCCGGACGGTTTCACAGTTCCTCTCGAAAAAGCCTGGACAATAACAAACATTGAATTTAATGGTTAAATACAAGGAAGTTGTGCTTCTTTGTTACTCAAAACATGTATAGTATTCAAAATAAGATGGGTAGTCAAGTAAAAAACTATTATAATTACAATTTAGCAGTTAATTGACCAGATCCCAAGTTTTATCACTCGAAAAAGCCCGATCTACACTCGAAAAAAATGGACAGATTCACTCGAAAAACCACGATTCTAGCCGGACACTATACCTACCGTGATACTTTTGAAGTATTAGATCAAATCGAAACTACGATCTCATATAGTGTATAAAACATACGTAACGCTATGTAGTATGTATTCTTTTAAATTTGATACAGTTAATATTTACAAAATATATTCGAAATCGAAATAACGAAAAGTATGGAATCCTGATATGATATGACCATGCAGCTAACCTACCTCATATAGTGTTAGAATATTGTACATAGATCTTACCAAACAAATCGGAAGTATATGTGCTCAGTAATAAATGTGTTGTGTAATGGTGTAATGTATTACCGGTGCTATATTTATTCACTCTGACGGAATTTAAATAACGTGTATTCTATATATAGATGTACGAGTTTCATATCTACAGAGGGGTCAAAATTCTCATGTATTTTTTTTTACTATAAATTGCAAGTATTTTCGTTGAACAATTAATATATAGTAGGGAAAAAAGTGACAAAAGGTATCGCCTTTGTAAATTATACAAGAATATATTCAATTCAATTCAATTCAGATGTTTATTGCCACATAAACTTTAAACAATAAGTTTGTGACAAATTCAAAATAAGTATACAATATAACTGAAAATCACACATATATACACGATCATATAATAACAGTAAAAAGTCCAGTGTCCCCTGTCCTCAGTTCTAATGTACAGGGGCGGATCCAGGATTTTGGAAAGGGGGGGCGTGTATGGAAAATTTTTTGGACCTTTTTTTTGGCTACAAAACATAAAATATGTGTAAAATGCACATTTTTAGTGACGGTTTCTAACGTGGGGTATGTATATTTTATAGTTAAAGTGCCGGTAAGCTTGGGTTGGACATTTTTGATGCCGCATTCTCTCCATTAGTTGTCTATTATAAAATGATTGAATGGATCTAAAGCTATGTACTAGTATACATGGTATATTTGATGTGGGATTTGTCAGTTAAAAATGGACATGGAAAATTCTCGTTTGTTGTATGGTTAGTTAGCATAACCTCACAGATTACTTGTTATAAACATGATATACGGCTATTCAATGAAGTTTATAATACGACCGACACGAAAAAAGACAAACAAGCAATTTTTATCCAAATGTTTGGTTGAAATGTTTCACTCAACAAGGGAAGTGAGGGGTTCCAAATCAAGATATGGGATTTACATGCAACCCCCCCCCCCCCCCCCCCAAAAAAAAAATACGCCCGTTTTTTATTCACCATGTTCATTTAATGCTGAATAATTCTGTTGGATTTTTATTTCTTATAGCAAAAAAGGGGACACGATAATTGTTTTCATTACACATGTTACAGATACGGATAGAATTTTTGTTTAAGGCAAAAATCAGGGTAAGAATTTTTTCTCTAAAATATCTCAGACTGCCCTATCAAATCAAATGGTCCGTACCTTAGACTTTAAATATATCTAGAGCTTACTGACTGGGGATCATTTTTCAGCAATGTTATTAATTGGCTGGTGCGTGTGAGGTTAAACATATTTTCGTAGGTAAATAATATTGCCGTGGAACTTTTTTTTTCATGAGAGTATAATAGAGTATTACTTTCTGTTGAGTGGAAATATGAAATAGAAGTCAATACGTTCTTGCTCAATCCTTTGTCGCTTTGAAGGCGTCATGCTTGTCATCCTCCGCCTAAGCAATGTGTTACTATAATTTGAATTTCAAAATGACTGAGTGACGTTTCAAAAGTACAGATCAACTCCACCGTAGCGAAACATATGACTGACATAATCAATAATATATTACAGTAAATACGAGCGAAAAATATCTTTATAAGTAAAGAATTGTCGCATAAAAATTAAATACACGACCAGGAAATGGCAAAGTTCACGAAGTCTAGTCTGATTAATCATTTTACAAAAAAAAAAAAAAAAAGTTCAAGCAAAGGGGGGGGGGGGGGGCGTACGCCCTCTACGCCCCCCTCTGGATCCGCCACTGATGTAGGACCCCAATCTATTTACTTGTGACGGTGTTGATGGATTGAGTATAAAAATCATCTTTTCTTCATCAGATAAATGTTTAAAAGAACATTTTATTTCCAAAATATCAAAAAAGTTGTTTCTCAGTTCCCTATTTAATATGCAATTTTATTAAACAATGTACCAATGTGTCAAAATATCTTCATATTGAATAAATTTATTCCTGTGGTGAAAGTTTTAATCTCCAATTTTTACAATAGCATTTTATTATCTACAGTAAATAGGAATATATGTTTATGAATGGGTATTTTTTTTCGAATGCAAACGGCACTCTTGTAACAAAATTTATTTCATATCGGTTAAGAATTAGCTTTTCTTACTAGATAACAAGGGGCCACATGACATTCTTTATTCTTCAGTAATAAATTCCATCGGTCTTTGACAGAAAAAGACGGACCAGAAAACCGGACGTTAACGGACTTTTACATGTTAATGACCATTTGGGCTCGGTTTCTCTGTTTAGAGTGATTTCGTTAATTATAAAATTATAAAAAAACTTTATTTTGTATTCACATACTGAAAAATTGTACTTAAATGAATGGCAGTGACTTATAGTTATTACTATGACTAGTCTTCACTCTTTCCTATAGAAATCGTACAATAACTCGCGTTTGCTTTGAACAATTTGAATTTATGAAAATTTTTAAAAACCTGGTTCCTCAATGAAATGAACATAATAGTTATTGAAGAACTGGTCATTATCGTGATACATGGACTGCTACGGCTCGATCATTATCGCTGTCTTAGTCAATACCACTGTCATGTGGGCAGTCCATATATCACGACAATGACCAGTTTTCAATAACTATTATGTAAATAGGTGCCCTACATCCACTCCCTGACCCAAGATTTTTCAAGAGAGACGCGTGTCGACAAAACGAACACAATTTGTAGCAAACATTTCTTCTATGCAACCCAAGAAAAAAACGGATCATTTTAGCACCCCAGAGATCAATCATATCTAAAGAATATACGGAAAATATATGCAATAACCGGCAGTGCAATTTTGATGGTTATATATTATGGGGGAAATACGGGCATGAAAAGTGGCTATATTTATACGTATTGTCAATTTTCCGCGGGGGACGAATGGCAATAATCCAAAATTTCCCCCGGGGGGGGGGGGGGGGGGGGGGGGAATAAAATCATACCAGTTTTCCCTCCCCCTGGGGGGAAAACTGGCATGGGGGAAATGGCTATATAACACCGACAGGCGTCGTGTGACTGATTTCAAAATGTATCATTCATCGGCATTTTTTCAGTTGCATTAGGATGGTCGATGATTATGGAGATAATAGTTTTGTATTTGAAGAATATCGGATATCAATTTTTATTTGAAGTTCGCTCCGGTTTTGACTCCGTTAAAGCGTCGCCAATAAACTCTATTTTCGACTATCAAATCACCAATTGATGAACGCAAATCTTCAAATACAATACTGCAATGCTATCTCCTATCTCTTCGTTCCGCAAGAACAATATTGATAATGATTTTTGATGAACATGTTTTGCTAAATACAATGATGAAAAAATACAATAAAATCGGATAAACCGTATAATGCCATAATATTCATTTGAATGTAACACACAACGTAAACAGCAAGCTTTATGGGAGTTTTGTGCAAAGTAAGTTTTAAATGTTACTATACGCAATCAAATGCGCATTGTTTCATTATCATTGTTTTCAAATATTTTTCTGCTACCTGTAAATGTCAAAACTCACGCCATAACTCGGTATACATACGAGACTAGACCAACTAGAGAAGTACGAAAAAAATCAACAAAATCGAACGATATTCAGCGGGATGTATTCTTGAAAAATTATTGTTACTAAGGGAAATTCCAACGTTCCTTATTCGAATAGAAATATGTAATGCGAATGAATTGAGAAGGTCGCACACATATGTGCTGAAATCTAGACGAATTAATCTAATAATCGTTGAAAAGGTGGAATTGACTTGTGCAGACAAAACTATTTAATATTTATATTCACTCAGAGACATTTTTTTATTTTGAAAGATTTCGGGAAATCGTGTCATGCTTAAAAAGTATGCGGAACACTCTTGAAATTGGTTCGTGGATAGAGGTTTAGATTTTGTGTATTTTTCCAGCAATATGCAGCATAAATAGTAGGTTCACCACGAAGGGTCAGTATTGTCTGTTTAATTCTGCGAAACACTTATAATGTAATTATGACGTCATAATTGTCCATTCATATGAAGAAAATCATATAAAATGCTCTAATTTTCCTCAGTCCTAACGACTTTTTTTACTATAAAAATTCCTAGGGATGTCATGGCGTTGGTTGCTTGAATGAGACTAAAACGTTGCACTTTCATGAATTTACTGTATTGGGCTACACCTATTTAAAAATGGTGAAAAAAATTTAAAACGTTACATGAATGAAGACTACATTATTTGTTAGAATGTTCATCGGCCATCATAAGCATGCATTAATAAGATTTTATGATGCACCAAATGTTAACGAAACTGTGGTTTGCATTGAAAATTTACTTTAAGTTAGTATTATTAAAATGCTATTGTTTTTTATCAATGAATATTAAAATATTTGGATTAAAAAGAAAATGATATTAGGAAACTCGTGTTTTAGTGGTAGACGGAATTAACTTTTTAATTCTCGTTTATAAATGAATTTTTCAGTATAAGGCCGTTCAAATGCTTTAAGTGTTTTTATAGATCTCATGTTGCCAACACACTCTTATATAGCAGAGACAAATAGACTAAAGGACTTCCAATTAATGATGTATTTATTAGTCAAAACACTAAAATGACGGCTTGATGAACTATCTAAACATTGGCGGTACACTTATACACTTATGACTAAACCTAAGAATAAGATACTTGTTAATTACAGGTCTGTTTTGTCTTTACACTTCTAGCACTGACGACAAGAAAGCTTCACATACATAGATGTTTCCTTACATTCAATATGTTATAGCCTGGTCTACCATATACTCTAATCAACCATTTAAAAACAAACTTTTAAATTAGTATCAAAACCAGTTACAGGTACTGAAACAAAATCCAGTCATAGGAAATGAAACAAATATATCTTTATTAGTGACCGCATTCATTCAAATTAAAAGTACAAAATGAAAATATTTAAAAGTAACCTGGGACTATAATATTATGTCCCAAAAGTAACTCATGTCGAGTTTCACGCGTCGACACTTAAATTAAAAAGATAAATATTTTGTGAGTAAACAGTTCATGGCGGTAAGGGATGCAATGACATTACAGTAATTATGACGAATTCTACATTGATAAGTACGGTTTAATTACAGAATG